TGCTTAAGTACAATCATTAGGGATTTAAGATGGAATAAACAAAAAACGATAAAATTGTCACCATTTGAAGCAAACTTCGGTCGATTGCCCAAAACTTAGTTTAAAATTTTGAGAGATAAATTCCTTAAAGAGTCTGGTCGTTTAGATGAAGAACATCTGGAAAGATCTGCATTAACAGCTTCCCAATTGAAAAGACGCATAGACCAATCAAGGGATAATGTGAAAATCGTTCGGAAAGGACAAAATAGTCGTGACGTCAGTCCATTGTTTCTACGAAATACGGCCGCAGCAAAAGAACGAGCAAGAGCTAAGGAGTTGAAGCAATTACTGGAAGAAAATGCGAGATGGAACGCCACTCGGAGAGACACATCGGATTCCGAGTTGAGACGAATCGTAGATGAGACCAGCACTAAAAACCCTGAACACAGAAAAGAGTTGTTTTACTCATGGGAACGAGGATTTATCGAAGATAAACAGGGTGCAGAGACGGACAATTGGTCACGTAATTTCCTTAACAAACACAAGCAACGGAAAAGTGGAAAGGCTCTAACGATACCACTCAAAGGAGAAATTGTGTCTGAGACAGCCTCGACTGTAAAGACAGCTGCTGGTGCAGTTTATCGAACGAGTGATATTGCGAGATCCAAAGTACCCGTACCGTCTACTGCGAGCGGATCCGAAAAGAAAAGAAGCCCAACACAGGGTAGGAGCCAAGAAGTAAGCAGCAGAAGACAGTACCACAGTATGAAGAGAACGACAGTGAATCAGCGGAGGAACATGATATAAACGAGCAGTGGCAAAACGATAAAGTACCAACTGAAGACAGTAGAGCTATGGATAAATTCCAAAACTCTCCGATTATAGTAACTTCGAAGGAGACGGAGACGGGCGGTGGTCTGAGCTTAGGTGGGAAACGGAATTAGCCGAACAGAGTAGGACCATCGGTGCAGAATCAAAAAAGTAGTATGAGCAAACCTACAGCACAAGAAGCTCGAAAATTAAAAGCTGTGAAAGCAGCAGCGAAGGACCCTAAAGATCGAGATACCGTCAACCCCGATTCCCCAGCGTCATCAACTCCAAAAAAAAGTCTCAGAAAGTAAACGTTTTACTCGACAGACTAAAGAAAAAGAAATACTGGATACTTTCCAGAACAAGGATATGACACCAGAGGAGTGGGACGAGCTTGCAGAACAGGTATTGACCAGAGGTGTCCAAAACGAAGCTGAACAAATGCTCACACAACAGGCGGGCTCAACTGATAATTGTCCTCCACCAGGTTTCTCCGATGAGTCGGATAAAGAAGAAGAACAGACAACGGTGAGACGGAGCAGTAGACAGACAAAGAATCAGGGGCTAAAGAGATATGTCAGCCCAGTGTCTAATTCTGTAAAATTGATTACTTGCGAGGACGACATTACTGAGTTAAATCTGGCAACTCTCGAGGCTTATCGGACACGATTAACGACGATTAAAACTGTTGACAGTGAAGCCACGCCAAGGAACAAGACATTTGGTCTCTTGGAGCGACATTTGTTCAAACGAAGATTTGGGGCTACATCGTTGGACCTTTCTAAACCATGGAATGTCGCGAGGAAAAATTTGGAGCCGGAAAAGATAAACAAGAAGCAGAAATAGAAACTAATCAAAATCAAACATTGATATTAAACTGAGTCTAAAACTCATGTTATGTTTTTAAAATTTTATATGGTAGTATATAAAACTTTGTTGTCCTTAGGGGAATGTGGTACTGTGTAGTACTGTTGCCACAGTAACCTTGGAGAATTATCATTATTTATTAATCTGTTATCTATTGTTATTACTTATTCAAGGCCAATCTAGCAGGCCTAATGCAACAGTCATTTAGACGGTTGCGAACTAAGTTGAAGAGTGATCAACAAGATCTCTGAAAACAAAACATCATTGACCAGAGCTTAAATTAAAGAAATAACTCTTCTGTTTTTCATTAACTAACTAAGAACAAAGCATTAGATTATCACAGTGGTAAACGATCTGATCAAAAAACAGAACTCAGGTCTTTTTGACAATCCTTGAAAAAATTTTCAATTGAAAGCCTCTTGTGAAAACAAGGACTAAAAAAAGAAAAAATCTTTGAAAAAGTTCAAAATCCTTCTTAGGTTCGTTCGCAGATATTTCAACCTGATTTTTTGATTCCGGGTAAGTTCTTTTGTATCTGGAGTCTATTGAATCCAGTTCTTCAGTCAATTGTGCAATGGCTGTAAAAAATTCGAAATTGTCTATAAAAAGCGAAATTTTCTATAAAAAGCAAACCATTGCTTTTTACCCAATTTAGCATGCTCTTGTTTTTAAGCAAACAATACCCGCAGACGCGCAATAATCAATGATACAAAGATGCTTCTGCTACTTCAAATCGCTATTTTTCCCATGCTCTTTTTAACCGATTTGTTAAGCTCATCAACCCAATTTGCTTTTCTTACTATTCAAAAGATGAAAAAACCAAATTAAAAAATCAAAAAAAGAGAGAAAACTTTACGACTTTTTTTTGTTATATAGACCGGTGTGATCAGAATTTGTTTGCTAGTTTTACATTTTTTTTTCATTTTTGTGTAATCAGATAGCATAATTTTGAAGCTCGAAAAAATTTGAAATTTTGTTATATAGCTCTGATTATGAACCGAAAGCGCAGAATTATGACGCAGAATCGAAGTCGCACTTTAAAAAAATAAGCCCCCAGTCCAGCAACGAAAATGATTTTTTGAAGATGATTTTGAACACTGCTAACAAAACATTGGGATCCAGCTAGTTTCAACCCTTTAACCAGAAATCCTGTGGTGTTTTAATTTCCAATGCCACAGCATAGCATTAAGACTTGATGACAAAATTCAAAACGAAACCACTAATCAGAAACTAGTTTAAAATATCCATAAATTTCAAAAGGTTAGCCTCTACCGATGTTCAAATTCAAGAAATATCAGTCAAGGAATGAATTCACCAGTTTTAAGTAAGCATTGAAGATGTATTAACGAGCGGCAGTTTGAGCAACTATACTTGGGTAGACGCCTGTCGCCAAAAACAATTCTTGAAAAACAAGTGTTATTCTTGAAATATGAGTTTACAAAATTGCACTAGCTCTTTCGAATTTGAGCTCTCCTGTACATTTAAGAGCTTAAAACTTTAGAAAAACCCAAGATTTGAACTGAATTGACAAAAAAACGTGGCAGACAAACGATAATCAGACAAATTAAGTATTACCAGAAATAAATACTTTTTTTTACCATCCAAAACCATTTGAAAAAAATTATCAAAAAAGAACTAAAATCACAATTCAAAAATATGCAAATTGAAGAAGACTTTCAATCATAATGAAGTCCCTTGCTCTATGCTTTATCAAGTGAAACAAACGACCAAGACATTGTAGTAGGTAAACCTATATTGGAAAAAACACCACCTTGCTCTTCTAGTAACTTTGAGAGTTTTTTCTTATTAACATTTATTTCAGGAAACATTTTTTACTCAGAGTAGCACCGAAGTTTTGTATGTTTCTGATTGAATCTAAAGCCCCGCATTATAATAGAGTGAATAAGAAAGGAGAATGAAGTCTTAAGAAACATTTTAAAAAAGGTGAAAGATAACATGGAAAACTTTTGAAAAAACCTAGGTTGTTGAAACAATATTGAAACAATTTCATATGGTTGTCTCGAATGTAATAAGGCTTAATAATCAATTGCTAAGCGGCAATTAAACGGATAAAAGTTGAAGCAACCTCAGTTTAGCCAAAAACAAAATTGTTACCAAATTGAAACCAAAATTGGATCTCATATCTTTCGAAACTTCACAAACTTTCCAGCATCAAAAAAGTTAAAATAAATATCCTGGTTTTCAAATTATCGAGCAATTATCCTGACTTTCAAAAACAAAATTGACTTAATCTGTCTAAGTTGAGCTGATACTAGGCAATCGAAAAAATTGTACAAACTCGGAGTTGATGAAGTCCTTTTTTTAAAGTTTTTTTGATGTTATTTGTAGCATTCGTCGATACCTTCCTGTCGCTTCATTTTGAAGCAAACACCAAACCAAAGGAATTTTTGATTCTCCAAATACTCAAAAATTAACAGAACCTTGGCAAAAAGTTTTCGGTGACAATTCAAAGTTCCATCAGAATATAAAATTCTACAGTTCGAAAGTGCTTCTGATTGCCACTAGCTAGAAAAAATGACAATACCTCAGATTTTTAACAAAAAATTTTTACGTCCAGAGTTTCTGCCTATCTATCTCGAATTCTTAACGGTTCGATACTTCTAGGGGTTTTCGGCATCATTGTAAATCGTTGGCAATACAGTGTCGATTTTACAGTTCTGAATGAGGAGAGACTTGTATCACTGGTTCCGGCTACAAGATTTTTAACTTTGGGCAACTGACTCGAGTGGGTTTTGGGAAATTTCCGAAAAAATTTTATTTTTTAAATTGAGATCTTTGTAGCGGTCACAGTCGGGCATATGAAGTTGGATGAGTTAACAGGGTATCCATTTCAATATTTGAAGTGAGTCTGTAGCAGCAGTCAGTTTCCTTACAAAGCCACAAAAATTTTGGTGGTAGCTTCGATTTTTTTAAATAAAAGTATCCGTCATAATACAAACTGCAACCCCGTCCCCTTTTAAAAATTTCAGTTTGGCTTATTTTTTAAGAATATGATAATTCCACTTAAATGTTGATGACTGATTAGTTATTTGTGGAAAAGTGAACAAAATAAGGCGTGAAAACGGTCTAGAAAAATCTTACTTTTTCACGCCTCAAAGTTGTTACACAATTATTGAAATTGTTTATGCCAATTGGGAACTATTTTGTTTTTATGCCATTTGAGAATTATGCTATTTGGGAAGTTACCCTTTCAAATTATGCTAATATGCCTGTTGAACATAAAATCAAGATTGCGTTTCATTGCGATCAATTTTAGCTCCCTACACATTTTTGAAATCTTGTAAAACTACAGTATACACAATTAAATTCAGCTATTAATGATTATTAACCTTTTTCTATTTACATATGAACATACAGCAAAACAATTGAATTTATCAATTTTTGCGTATTTACATTTTTTTAATTTACAGATGATCACAAAACAACTTTTATACTTATATTGACTTTTGTGCCGATCTCTACATCAAACAAGTTTTGAAACAGAATTTTACAAAAAAAATCAAACCATATTACTGATCACGATTCTATAATGAAGTGTTTCGATTTTAGGCACAAAATAAGTACAAGCTAAGTCACGGGATTTTTGAATCAATCAATTAACTACACTAGCTCTTCACTTTCAACTACTTTCAGCTTTTTTGCTTCACAATTCAGTTTATTCTGAAATTAGCAAGAGTCTTCTACAAGTCCATGCCATGAGTCACTGTTTTTCTTCGTTAGAAAAAAGATACGATGAAATATTGAGCTTAAGTTTGCTGCAATGGCCACAAATCCACAATATAAGTTGAAATCTATCTGTTCACGAGGTATGTTGTCTTAATCTTCAGTTTGAATGAAGTTCTCCGATTGTCCATTTTATTTTCTCGTGTCTGTCGACTACTTAAGAGTATTCATGTTCTGTACAGAGTGTATTATTGTCTCCATTATTTGTTGGCGGTGGTTTGTGTTTGTGAGTGTAGGAGTATGTGCTTGTGGAACTGGGGCAGGAGTTTGCGATCGAAGAAGCACCTGACCTGCTGCACCCACAGTCGCAACTCCACAGGAAGAGCGGCAGAATCCAACTCGTCTTCCGTGTCTAAACGAGAACACCACTTTCAACATGAACACAAAACTCTTACACGAGCAAAGCATGATTCCCATGCAAATATGAAGTGAAAATTAAACTAATGAAACAGAGGCGAAGCTTATTATTCACAAATTATGAAATTACGGCTCTTTTTACTAATAGATCTCGCCCGAATTCATAAAAACGCTTATGGTACATTCATTTTTTGGGGAAACTTCAATGAATTGTGAAGCAACGAGAGCTGCTTGTACTCTAAGACTAAGTTTTCCTTGACAGATAGCCCAAAAGTCGTACTAAGAGACCATACAAACTAACAAGACGGCTCGTATCAGTGCAAAGCATGGACTGCCCTTTAATTGTTCTCGAACAGTTTTTGGCAAATCAAATATTGGCAAAACTTTTATTTTTAGGCTGATAACATCAAACTTTAAGTGTTAAAATTGAAATTTGGGTTATGCATTGGAATTAATAAGACGAATTAGCTTATTGCCTCAATCAAAGTTGGAACGTTTTGTAGTGCGGGATAAATCGCCATGAGTAAAACAAAAAAATAGCACTTTAGACAGATTCCTGGCAGCATGCTATAGTGGTGTTCAACCACGGCTGGGTCCTTGCAGACAGGGGATCGATTCTGTGGGAGCAAAGACTTTTATGAAATTGGTCTGAATTAAAAAAAAAACACCACGAGCATATATATTCCTCACTTTCTTCGAAAGTCGGAACAATTAATCGGCCTTTCTCCAAAACAAAATCTTTAACTCTGCCCATTTTTTCCAGGACCCATACACCTCGTAAAACTACAAATAAAACAGTTCAAAAACTGTTCACACGGCATTTTGCAAGAAAGAATTGTTTTAAAATTTTGTTCATCTGTTCGCGCTGACACTTTTTAATTCAGTTTATAACATGAAAGTCATTTTAACACAAGACGTAGCTTCGCTTCGCAAACACTAGCGAAAACACGACAAAAAGCAGCTCTAGAAAGTGCAATAAGAAAAAAGAGAAATAAGCTTCGAATTAGCAAAAATTCGATCTGCCACCTACTGCAATCAAAAGGATTTGAGTCTCATGCATTAACCACTCAGCCACGCACGCTTTAGCACCGACAAACACTAGTCAAAATTAAAGCAGCTACATAAGCTAACGAACTGGAAATGCGAATCAGCAAAAGTGGCACCACATACAAATAAACTAAATTTTGCTAGTGAAAATTTGGAATATAACGAACTGAAGGCATCCACACTAATTTTCCATGCAGCAAATCGCAAAGCATAAAGCCTCATTTTGTATTAATTATGCATTTCAAAAAATTGCGAGATAAATTGAAATAGAAAATTTTTGAAATGGAGTTTTTATTATTGTTTTTTGAAACAAACAGATTTTTCAGTTCATCTGATGAATTAACACAGGCGAAGTTGCACTTCGCATACAAAACAAAAATATGACCGATAACGCTACTGGGAAAAACTGAATGAATAAAACTTTCATTAAAACTGCTATTTTTAACATAATAGTCTGTGTTAATATCCTTAGCAATGGCTGAACTTAATAGCTGGTTATTGATCAAAATGAACAATAATATTTGCGACTTAGGTTGGAAAAATAAGAGATTTCATACTATCACACAAGCTTTGCTTGTGTAAAAATGCATCAACTATGAAAATGTATTACTATTCGAATGTCAAAGCACATGCTATCAAAAAGCTGTAAAGATGCCCCAAAGATGGCAACTATGTTTGCGACTTGGGTTAGAAAAAAAGGTTCCTAATAATACACTAAGCTGACGCTAATGTAAAGAGACTTTCATATATTGAATTTCAAAAATAATCAAAGGTGGAACAAGTAAAGAGCCTATCTCTGTCACGGTAATTGATTACTTTATTCTCGAAATCCAATATCCTAATCATAATTTGTTGGCTCAAAACTCGACTAATAAACTTTCCATTGGAATAACTTTGGGACTTCTAGGACTGATTTTGATTATGGGTGCTATGAACAATCGAAATTCACTCGAAATTTAAAATCCATATAAGCAATCTCCGTGGTAATTATAGCTGAAGACGCTCACAGAAGAGCTGAGTTTTTTTAGTATAATGAGCCTCGTTTGAAAAAAAATCGATCAATGAGGCTCCAGTATAAATGAACCAGTCAAAGTATGCACCTTCAAAAATGAGCAAAATATATACACCAGCCGAAACAGACAAACTGTGCTGAAAGAAGCTTGATTTTCGTGGCGATTACATAATTGTTATACAGTTATTAATGATGATTTCTCGGTATTTCAGGTAGTTTACAGAGGCTGGTTTATAATTCGGCTGTTTTTTTTAACACCGATGTCAACTATCATGATGTATATTCATGCCAAGAATAAGCGAAGCACTGCCGTCTCACGCTGTCATGACTCACCCTCTTCTACACGACTGAGGCCGCGCATGTATGACACTGAAATTAATACCAAATTTCTTCATTCCTAGCTATCACGGCAAATTGACCTCAAATCTCCAAATGCAAAATTATATTTCCACATTGATTTCATTTCAACAAATCAAATCACAAGCAAACGCATGCTTAGCAGAATTATGATACAAGATAGGCCGGAATTGCCCAAAAAAATGACTTCCACGCCAGGAAATTGAATTTTAGAATATTCAGCGATCAATTGCTGGACAGAACACTGCGAGAGAAGAAGTTTACCCTATCATCAGACTAACTTTCTGCATCGCGTTAAAAAAAGAATATTCACTTGAATAACAGAAACAATCACTTTAAGCCAGTTTCTTACTATTTTTAAGGCTGTTTTATATAATTTTTAAGGCTGTTTTATATATAAATAAAAAAAGTATTTTGTACCTCCTCCCCAGTCGACGAATCTTGAGCTGCGAGCGGAAGTCATGTTACTCGCTCCTCTGGTCAGAGGCCTCGATCCGAACAGGGGTTCTTCTGCTGGAACATTCTCTTCACCTAAGCACAGCACAACTTTCAAATCACAAACACAATAAACACAATGAGAAAAAAGGCCACTTATTTGAAAATTGGTTACAAATAAGAAAAAAGCAATGACCGAAAAACTTACATGACATGCGACTTCAAACTAAGACTCTCTCTGTGATTCGTTAAAGTAAAGTTTTATTATTTTATTCGAGGGCTCGCGTTCTTTGGGTCCTTAATTAAGATCACGCGCCACCTTTTCTATTGCCACGGTCTATACCACGAGTCTCTTTACTGTGCTTTTGAATAAAGCGAAGTATGTTTGAGCTCACTTACTAAACATAGCCAACAGACAGTTGGAAAAGAGTCATGAATACAAGAAAACAGAAAAAAAAACTGTTAAATTTCAAGAAAAATTTACGATTGGCGCTTTTTTGATGAAATTAACCCAAACTGAAAAAACTGGATCAATAGTTTAATGTTTTATTCCGCTGGAAAATCTGCAAATCAACTCCACTTTCGAAACTAGAACTCGATCACGTTTTTGTGGCCTTAAAAATTTTTTTACAAAAACGCGAAAACTCACATTTGAGCGAGAACAAATATTAAGACTTTTTCATGAAAAAAAGATCAAGACCTATAAGAGAGTATTCAATACGCTCAATAACGCTTAAACACTTAAAATAAAAACAAGTACATTTTTCGTATTACACAAAAGTATTGAATGAGTAATTACCTGAGCTGGGCTTGGAAGACTGTTGCATGGCTTCTTCACCGGTCACTTCCTTCTTGTCCCCACCCTGCTGTTCCACTCCACTCTCTTCCACCCCCTGATCATCCAGAACAGCCCCACTGCCCCCCACATTCTCCCCCGCATTATCAGCAGTGCCCCCACCCGCTTTCTTGTCAGCCTTGCCACGCTGCAATATTCAGTACACTAGACATTCAACATCCAGTACAGGTGATCATTGCTACTCCGATTATGTTTTAGATTATATCCGATTATGTTTTAGATGCTGAAAACCTAATCCTCAAATTTCTTCACCCTTAAGAGGAGAATCAATTGTGTGATTTAACACAATGATGAGGTTTAATGGGTAAATTTCCTTCAAGCGATACCCTATAATCTGTCGCTTTCGAATGACCGTAATAATGTCACTATTGAACTTATCTTAAGGTCTTAACAAAAACAGCTTTGAGTGAAAACAGTGTTATGTAAATCAGAATTTTTTTCACAGTTTTCCTAACGCATTAGAACAAGAGGCTTTTTTCCGCCCCCACAATTAAATTTCAACTTAACAAAACTAACTTAACTGTCATAATCTACTGAATGTTTGCAAGGAAAATAACTATTCTGAATTGTGTTTTTCAAACTTAACTGAAAAAATCACACATTAAGCTTTCATAGCATGTACAAGGTCACAGAAAATAGAACTTTTGAAATGTTGGAAAATGGAAAAGAGCCAAACAAGAAAGACTACGGATATTTCACCTCGGTGGTCGACTCGTTTCCAGCTGTGACCGGCTGAGCGCCTCCTGTTTGCGTGGCATCCTCGTTGTTATTCGCACTGGCAGTAGCTTCCTCACCATCAACAAAGCCATCTGCCTGTCACGCACATCAAATGAAACATTTAAGACCTTCAGAAGAGTAAAACAACCTGTTGTCTGTTTCTGGTTCTTTCCCATTATAACCCCCCCCCCCCCCCAAGCCTAGCAGCAAAAAAACATAGGCCTATACGCTGTATTTTTACCCTTATGTGGGCTATAATTTGCAGGAGGCTATAATTGGAAAGACCCTGTTTTCCAAGGTACGTAGTTTCTGAACGATCACCATGTGCTATTTTATGACTTAAAATTTATTGAGATCTATGAATTAAACAAAAATGTAGCATCCATCACCCTCGCAATTAAAACGAATGTTTTCTTTTCCTTTGTGAAATTTTCATTATAACAACCCAAGATCAACCTGCTATGTATTTTTTTCTTGGATAAACACGCCTACTCGCCCTACTCCCAGTTTTCACCTGACTATACTGGCTGCCGGGCGTGGCCACTGCAGTCTTCGACGGTACATCCCCAACTCCCCCCATCGGATCAATGACGTCATCTGTGAACTCACTAAACCTCCCATGAGGGGGCCAGAGTCCGGAGTCCTGTTCCAGAGTTATTTGAGGCAGACGACTCAACTCGCTTGCACCCTTGGGTTCCTTCAGAACCTCGTCTGTGACGAAGATGGTGGCGAAAGAGAGAAGACTCTCCATGAACTCCAAAAGCGTCAACTAAAACGGACAAAAATCCTCCTGTTTCTCCATAAGTTTCTCGCGTATTCAAAAAAAACTAGCTGAGAAGAACTCAACTTTTCTTTCTTCATAAAATCTAAACTTTTCAAGTGTTAACGAAAAACTACTCAAACTAACAATAGAATTCAACAATTAATGCTATTCAAAACTTGAAGATCAAACCGAGACTCACTACTCATGAAAACAATTTCAAACCACTCACCTCCAGTTCCAGATTACAATCTTCTTCGTCGTAAATTCTTCTGTCTTGTTTAGCTAGAATCTGCATTGCCACTTTGGTAGTCAATCTTTCATTCAGCAATTTGTAATCATTCATCATATGCAAAACATCACGTGCACAGATGGTCTTGTCCGCCGGGAAGTTCTTCGGAGGTACTCGGAGAGGCTTGCAGAGGAACGAGTAGATGTCGAACACTTTGGGCAGATAGTCGAAGGTTATTTTGGCCTTGACTGGGTCTGTCATGATACCGCCTTTGATCTTACAGGCGTACTTGGTCAGACGTTTCTCAAGCAACATCGACAGGCAAGAAGCCACGATGTGTTGACAGTTCCTAAAATTAGAACACGATACCCTTAAAAAATGCCCAAATAAGGGTGCCATAGTTTAGCAAGCAAAAAACCACCAGCTTGTTGATGAGTCACTATAATCTATTACCCAGACCAAAAAAATCAACTAAAAAATAAGATGTAATTCTTAACCACGGGCACAGAAACCGTTCCATGTAAAGATCTGAACATCTTGTATATTCGTCGGTTCCCTCATGAATGAATAGTCTTAACACGTGGAGGACCGACCCCCACCATTGGTCCTGCATTGAGTAGGACCGGGGGCAATTTAAAAATTCTCAACTTGTGAATAAAATGGTATTTCAACCATCATTAACCACTCACTGAGTCTTTGCATCGGGAGCGAAGACATGATACGCAGTGTAAATGAGTGAGTTGACGAAATCCAAGAACAGCATCCTCGCATTGGGCTGGTGGGGGTTGGTGAATTGTGTTGAAGCACCATCCTCCCCACCTCCTTCCACAACTGGAGGGGGAGGGGGAACTCCGTCTACGTTCAACTCAATATTCGCACCTAAAAAATTCATGTTAAATCGTATCCATTAAATTTCAATTTGGGAGCCTTCATGTTCAAACGTCTTCACTATGTGGTTTTCTAGACAAGGAATTGCATTTATAAAACAAGGGTAGCCGGTTACTGTGCAAATAGCACAGAATATTACGACCATAGTCTTAGAAAAAAAAAACATTTTTTTTTTCAAATTAGCGTAGTTTTTTTCTTGGGAAAAAATAGAAATTAGGCATTTTCGACAGTCAAACAGTCACTGACAAATAGACTAGCTAGAAAACCGTTTTTGTTAAGAAAAAGACAGGAACAAAATTTTCAAAAATGTCAATGATTCCCAAAATGGCGCAAAAAAACTCCAAAAACTAACTTTGCTCGAGTAAAACTAATTTTCACGGCTTGAATTAAGCTCAAATAGACTATTGTAAGCATGCACGCTGACCAGATTAGCTTGAAATTAAACCAAAAATCAAAAATTTCAAACCGGTTTTTCTCGGTAGAGAAAAATGTTCTAAATTTTAAATGTTCGAATCACGACTGAAAGGGCGGCTTTATTATGATATAAAACTCGACCCAACCCGATGATTATTTGTGGCACCTGATTTTGCGTGAAAACAAAACTAAAACACCCCCCGAATACAAATTTCCTCCCATTTTTCAAATGGTTGGAACAAAAATACCGATAATTTAGGGATTATCTTACCTTGTTAGTTTATAGAAAAAATCTAATTGAAACAACATTTCTCACATTTCAGAAAATAAGGTTAAGGTTGTTTTAGAAATGGTTCCTTTCGTGGATCAAAAAGTTTCTTTTACAATTTTATTTGATGAAACAGTTGAAAAGTTGAACTGACCAACAAGTCTGTCTAGCTCGACCAGAGTGACTTCGTGCTCGTTGATTCTGCAGTCCTTCAGCAGCTGCCAAAACTGCAGCTTCTCCATCACAAATGTGTTGTCCTCTGCCGCTGCCGATGAGCCCTGGGGGTGGGGCTGCCCAGCTGCGCCTCCGCCTTGGGACAGTCGAGTAGCTATACTCTCCTTGCAGAGTTTGGCGTAGAATGCGTATATTTTGCGAAGGAGAGATACGTTGCGAATCACACAGAATTTGATCTGCAGATAAATAGAGTTTTTGACATATATGGAATATTTCAGTGGTGTATGTGACAATTGTTGGTAACAAAAAATCATTAAAGTTGTAAGGTACAACCTTTTCGGAGCTCTTTGAGCCTAAGTACACATTGGAGTCCCGGAATCGCATGATTAATTGCTACTCCAAGCAAATTTAAAAAAATTTTGTCCGCCTGATCTTTAATTGAGCTAATTAGGTATGAAGCGAATTAAAATAGCTTTCGTATTGTCAGCGAAAAAATGAAACCAGGTAAGCACATTACTTAACAGTCTCTCCCTTTCCAAATTATGTATTGAGCTCATCGCGAATTAAATGGCTACCAAAACTAAACGGTCAATATATCTACCAACTTCACTACCAATAAAATTGGATTTTCACATGAGAGCCTTCGGTTTTACAAGGTAATGGGTTTGAAAAATGTAATTAGAGAACATGTCAATATTCATCATAACCCAATAGTGAGTAATAAGATCGGGCAACTAATTAACAAGTGGAGAGTAACCTGCATCTGTTCTTCCTCTCTCGTTTGTGCGGGCAGAGTGTCCAGGATGGAGTCCAGACTGAGGGCGAAACTGGACTGCAACTGGCTACTCTGACTCGACACACTCCCGTCAGACTTGATCGACACTTGGTCATCTGAAAGTATTCACAGATTTATACACAGAATTATTCGCCAAAAAAATTGGTCGCGTGGATAAGGCGTGCGAATTTCAACAAGGTCAAGAATTCGAATTACACTTCGCACCCGGTCCGAGGGTTCCCTATGTCATTGTCCTCCTCGAGTTTGCAACAACTATGGCAAAATGTACCGCACGCGCTTTTAAAATCAATGCTTGATAAAAAACTTATTGACTTTCTTGAATTTTTTGAAAGACTTCCGTAAAAAATTACATCACTTAAATATTATGCTTTGATCAACTTAAAAAGCCTGGTTTCGTTGATTTCGTTCAACCAATCTTCGAAAAATACGTTCATTAACACTTAACATACGTAAAATCCCGATTCAAATACTACGCTTTGGTCAACTTAAACTGCATGGTTCGGCAGATTTCGCTCAATCAATCTTCAAATACTATATTTATAAATTCTCGCTTGGACATTTTGCATACAACTATACACAAGCTTTGCACTTATCGGCAGAGCTGCATTTCACATATACAATCAAAAATATGGCAAAAGCTCTCAAAGTTCAACAAATAAGAAAATAGGCCTTTCACGAAATACGTTACCAACAGAAAAAAGCGGTAATGAGCACAAAAAAAATTAAGAATGAAAACCATAATTGAAATTTTTTTGATTAAAAATTCAATTTGACACAATCGGATCGATCAGGACGAAATTTCGAAAACTAAAGCACCATTTTTCGCGCTATTGCTACTTTTAGGTTGGATAGCATAATGGTTCTTCGTATTAGATACAAAGAAGGATAGCCAGTTGCTGTGCAAGTAGCACAGCATGTTTCGACATAAAAAAAACTTCAAAAAGTACTTTCTGTACTACAGTTTTCTTTTTTTTTCAAAACTGGAGTCGCTTGTATGCGTAGTGTAATGAACGAACTATACAAATACGTAGAAAATTAGTGAATTAAGCATAATCGACATCACTGATTGCACAAAAAAAGTTTTGCCCAAAAACTTTGAAAGTTTAAAGAAACACTTCATTGTCAAGAACACGCGAAATGAAGCTTCCAAAACCAGTTTTTCTTTTAGTAAAATCAAGTTTTCCTGGCCTAAATAACCATTGTTTATAAAACGAACGTTACTCGATGGCTTTACATGCGCGAAAGTAGACTAAGACTCAAAAATATCAAACCTGTTTTCCTCGATACTGGGAAATTTTTAAATTTGGTTCGAATTACGACTAAAATGTCTGAATATTTTTAATCACTCGACGCTTTCCAACGATTATTTGTGGTAAATCATTTTATGTGGGAAACAAAAGAAACAAAAACAACAACACACCCGACGACAAAAGGTTGAAACAATAACTCAAATCAGTTTCGGGTATTTGCACTTGAAATCTTAAGATATAAACTGAAACGAAGGCAAAGCTTCAGCTTCGCCTACCGATTCAAAAGTGCCACCAAAAGTATCACTTGTGTTTGCGACATATGTTCTGACATAAGAATTTCTGACTATCAACTGCCGATAATCTTATAAGAAAATATTTTTCATGAACTAAGAAAAGTTCGATGAAATCTTTTTTTAGCTATTTCGATAATTTTACAGCCCTGCTCACATTCACCAGTACATTAGTCCCCTCTCTGACAACAAACATATGATTGGATCACAAGTACATCAGCCTTGAACGAGGTGTAACAACGCAGCTTTAGACGCACTTTGTGTAACGCACTTATTTTAAGTAACGCACTTAGCAATGAAATCGCCGCTGTTGTAAACATCGCATTCTGATATTCAATTCTTGCTGTTTCAACTAACGCATCAACTTTGCTATGAAAATACCGGTTATGGTAACATCGCATACAGTACTGACCTGTAAAGTTGACCCTAGATCCCGTCCCACTTTTGGGCCTCTGCTGCTTGGAGCCGGGAAGCTGGTCTATCTCTGGGGTTGCAGCCTGTCCGATGTCCAGCTCCGGGTTGTCCACCATTTTGTCCATGTTGAACTCGCCTTCCAGCACCCGCCCTGTTCTGAATGTGATCACACCCTGCGATAAACAGTTACATCCAGTTAAAGCCTCACTTCAACTCGAGATCAACTCATTTCAATTTGATCAGTAATTTAATTTATTCAAACTTTCATATTAGGCATTAATGTGATTTTGCCACATTTTTCTATGAAATCCAACTGTTAAAACATTTGGATTTCAAAGTTTTAGAAAATTCAGAGAAGGAAGTTCCGCTTTTTGATGAATAAAAATTCTTTTAGAATTAGAATTCTTTTACAAATTTTTGAATTGTTGGAAATTTCATTCCTGTTAGAGACCATTTTTTTTCGAGCTTCAATTTATGTTCATTTACATAACTGAAAAATGCGCAACTACTTTGGTACCAGACTTGATTGTACATACAAATTTTGCGAAAGAGCACAATATTGGAATTTAAACTTTGAAACCCCGACATCTGAATAAATCCTTCTACCTCAATAACCGAAGCTATATAGTAAAGTCAAAATGAGTTTCTAAAATATAACTCACCCCCGGGCCGTGTTTGAGATTGTTGTTCCAGGGGCCTCTGTACCTGGACCCATTGGCGTAGATGAAGGTACCCATTCCATGTCTGGCTCCCTTGTACCACTGGCCGTAGTACCTATTCCTCTGGGGATACTGGGAGTCGGGAAGTCTTCGCAGGTACCACGTATACTCTCCATCGCCATGCTATAGCAACAAAAAGAAAACTAAACAAGGATAGCCCGTTGCTGTGCAAGTAGCACAGAATGTTACGACCATATTCTTAAAAAATACAAAAAAAAAATTTCAATCAATTTCAAATTAGTGCCGTTTTTGTGCACGGTATGATAAAATGATCTGACGAAAACCTGAAACTTAGGCACTTTCGACAGCAAAACTAAATAGGCAACTTGGGCAACAGTTTTCATCTCACAACCACACACAAAAGCAAATCACAAAAAAAAATCATTACAAATTCAAAAAATGATCCAACTTTTTTCATTGATTTTTTTCCCCAAAATGGCGCAAAAAACTTCATTTTTTTACTGGGTTAAAATTAAAGTTTCAAGGCTTATCCTTTAGTAAGAAGTTCATTTGCTTTACTCGCTCGAAATTTAACGAAAACTGGTTTTTCTCGACACTGGAACAACTTTTGGAAAATTTTAAATGTCGTTCGAATCAGGGCTGAAAGGGCTTTAAAATGATATATATGTCGACTCATCTAATTCGCTAAATTGAATCGTTTTGGAAGCTAACTTAGCTGCAAAATTACTAATTTGGGACTAGTAAAATGAGTATACGTGACATTGAGACTACATTATTTTTTAAATCGAAAACTGGGAAACTATGACGAACTAAATTGATTTGAGTGTGAAAAATAAGGCGTATTCAGCCAATTTAACTATAAGCCGATGAACTCAAACGTAAAAAAAAGAAGGCCGAGGCCACTAAGTATAAAAACAATCTAAAAAGAATGTTTCGAGAAACAAAACCTATAGTGATAAGTCAGCATTCCGAAATATCTATTATACGCTACCTAAGCCGCCAAAAATTGTGAAGACAATCATTGAAATAAAAACAAAAGCAAAAGAATCTAATTTATTCCATAAAACTGCGCAATAAAAAACGTTTGAGCCGATAACACATTTGCCAACCCATTCAAGCCAAATAAATCGTTTGAGCAAGCAAAACAGTAACGTAAAGCAGGAAAAATAAATACAAAATCAGAAGGCTGCTTTAACCAAAAGAGGTTTGCATTGTTTGGAAATTCATCTGACAAAAAATAAGCAGACAACCAATAGACACATAATCAAATTTCTTTGCCTAAGTCGTCAAGCATGGATGTCACGCTTCTCCACGCTAAACAGGTCAAATGGTACCTCGAACTAGATGTACTATCAAAGTAGACTGAGCAAATGTTTCAAGGATTTTGTTGAACATGTTGTCCACCCAAAAATTTCTACATTACGAGTTTGTAACGCTTGTTCAGCACAAGACTAGAAACCATTACAGGCCGGGTTATGGCTGCTGAGTATTTACGCGGCCCCGAGTTTCTGGTTCAAGCCATTACAGGTCGGAGTGTGGATGATTACTGTTTAAAGTAGTATAAATTTCAAACTTTTTAAGTTCCAAGCACTCTCGAAGTGTGCAGGCACTTGTGATTCGGGTCGGTGTTTTTCCAGCTAGTTTTGACTACCTGAGGGAAACTCCTAGCACGGCAAGTGTGGTATCATATATAAAAGCCTTTTCATCGGTCGCGATTCAAATTCTTAAGAAATTTCGAAAAAGTCCTCATAGTCTTGAGAAAAATTTGTCTAAAAATTTTTCAATAATATATTTGAATAAGCCCAAAATTTATGAGAGGCTGACACCTGACCTCCTTCTACACTTTAACCTTTATTTTAGTTATAGAAATTTAACATCATTTAGGTCAAATCACTTCTTATTTCCAAAGTTTTCGATCGAATTCAGTTACCCTTAAGTACAGAATCAACCGGAGTTTAAAAAATGAAATAAAAACTTTTCTTTAATCTTCTTACTTCTTTCTGTAGTTGTGAGTTACCTGTCTCAGCTGGGTCCGAACATTCTGCATTCTGTCTTGCATATGATCAAAAAACTCCAATGATATTGCAACCAATGATATAATATTATTTTCTTGCTCAATTAAATTCAATCAAAAACAATGAAACAACAATTGATATTGGGTTATTACCTTACTAAGCATTCCAAATTTCAAAACAATCGGACAATATTATTGTTAACTTTCACTGAAATAACTATCGGTAAAAATTACAATCACAGGTGGGGCGGAGAGGTAAAAGATCCGACGCAACCTCTACAAAAAATAACACACCTGCAATCCATCCTCCCACTCTCCCTCGTAGAGTGCATTGTTGTGGTCGAGCCACTGCATCCTACCGTAGCCATGTCTCTTGTCTCTGTACCACATTCCATCGTACACATTCCCACTCGCATATCTTCTCACCCCTCGTCCATTCTTCATGTTGAGGAACCACTCGCCCTCGTAAAAACTCTGCTGGGCCGGATCGTAATACAGAATACCCTGCAATATATAAAGGATCGACAGTGAAATGGTTAAGGTCTCTATCTCTCAGTCGATAGATAGGTGGTTCCAGGCCCGCAATGTTCCATGGTTGTTCGGGTGAAGCAACATTACCCAGCTCAGGAAATTAAGCAGCAAAAAAAATTATAACCACGGGCATAGCTCATGACTGAACAGCTCATACGTTGGTATTTCCCTGGTGGATATATGTAGTCTTTATCTTAGAGGAGACATTGTTTTGGATCAATTAAACAAAAATAACATTAACACGGACCCAACTCTTAAACAAAAAGAGGCGGATCTAAGATTTTCTCCCAGAATTTCAAAAAATTTTCGTCTTCCTTTTTTTAGGTCGACGAAATTGATTTTCCGAGCTCTCCCAAAGCACTTAAAAGACACTGTTTTCTCCGCTGCAGGTCCAATTTTGAAAAAAAAAACCGTTTTTAGGCACTTTTTGAAAAATTTTGACCAAAAATAACTTTTTTTAGGCTCTCACTCCCCGTTCAAAATCAATATAATTTGGCGCCAAAGGCGCCTTAGAAACATTTTAGTGTCCGTCAGTCAAAAATTTATATCTCAAAATAGTACAAAGGTGGGACCCTTTGGGTCGGCAGGTGGTCGAATCCCTGGGAGGGGGGAGAGTCCCCCCCCCCCCCCTAAATCCGCCCCTGATTAAGAACTATATAAGAGAAAACAACTTCGTTCTTTTACATTTCATAACGAAAATTGAAACCAGCGACTCTTACCTCTCCGTGCCTTTTGCCTTTGTGCCACTGTCCCGAGTAGCAGAGTCCCCTCTCCGGACAAGTGTAAGTCCCATTTCCATGTCTCAGTCCATTCAACACATCGCCCTCGTAAGTGCTAGAAAATAAAACAGCCCATTATATTTTTCGTCCATTTGCCTATAAGCCAACAGTTAACTATTCTAAATGATCTAAACAAGTATTAATACATAACATACGAAACGCATGCAGTAATACGGCTACAAATTCAACTTTTTCATCCTATTATAATTTAAAAATGCTCCAAAATCAGCCTTTCTAATGCCATTCATATATTTCAATCAATTTCGATTTTTTCTTAGAAAAACCGCCCACCCCCTCCCCCCTCTTGAGAAAATTCTAGGTCCACCCCTGATTAGAATAGTCGTGTATACTTGCCTTCCGTCAGTCCAGCGGTAGAAGCCCTTTCCCGTGATGTGGTTGAGCGTGAAGTCTCCCTCGTAGCGGATGCCATCCTCCCACACATACTCGCCCTTGCCATGCATCTTGCCCTGGTAGAACTCACCCTAAACACAAGTCACAAATTACGATGACAAATTCAATCCAATGTAAATTAACCAGCAGTAACGCATATCACCACCCTAAACACAAATCCACAACACAGTCACAGATTGCGATAAAAACAATTCAAAATTCAACTCAGTGGAGACGAACACGCAGTAACGTATATGAGTTATCTAGGTTTAATTTTCCTATCGAGATATACTTAAGGGGGCAATATTGTAAGTCTTTATATCACTATATTTTAGCGACTTGCCTTGTAGGTGTGTCCTCCGACGAACTTTGCTTCTCCATATCCGTGATACAACCCCATTTCTTTATCACCCACATACCTGTACAATACAGTTTGCGGCGCAAATGACTTCTGTCTATTTCAGGGTCTTTATAGTGCTCTGGGAGAGCTCGGAAAACCAATTTGGTCGACCCAAAAATCCCAAGACAAATCAAAGAAATCTATTGGTGCATTTTTTCAGATTAAGTCAAATAATTGACAGGGGAAAATTTCAATAGTAATTGCCAGGGAAAATTTTCAAATGTCTGTTTTAACTGACTCTATATTCCTGTATTCATATTCTGTTTTCGGTAACTTTTTAGCGTTTTAAAAACTAATCTTTAAATCCAAACATTAAGTAATGCATGCAATCATGGCTTTTTTGAGGGACTTAAATTTTCTTTATAATCAAGATCCTCATCATCCTTGAAGGTTGGTCCAAGTTTTTTATCCCGTGAAATTGCTTTCTCGGATCAAACTTAATTCCCGTGGTCTACTCTTTAAATACGACTTCAACCCTCAACATGGTCTGTTTACTGTCTCGACAGTCCAATTAAACAAAAACATAGAAGAGAATGAACTTACTCTTCCACGATGAGTTTAGTCAGTACTGGCTCCTCGAACATCTTCTGCTCCACCACTTTGGACTGCGTCATCTGAACAGACAAGCTATCAATCAACCGAAATAATTGACAGGGTGAAACGATGAGGGGGTGCATTCGGTTTTTAGGGCATGAGCCATTCATCTTCCCACAAAGGGCAATAACTCACGAATTTTGAATTATAAAATTCTAGCTTTTGATCGAATCATGAAATTCAATTAAATACTAGAATATAGCAAGGTGACAAGGGGAAGGTTGAAGAGGAAAACAACCTCAGCCACAGATTCTGATTTCTAACAGCTTTCACAACTAACTATTGATCAACTATTATTGACAAGAAGAAGTGGCTTTCTTGAACTCCAGTGTTAATACATCCAAGAATTGGCATTAAAAAAATTTAAGAAGTGCTTAGAAACACGCTTCCATCGCGTTCTCGCAAATTGATTGCACTTTATTTGTAAAAGCCATTAATTTAACAATTGATCGAATCTAATTTGCAACAAGACTGCTTGTATCAGGGCAAAGCCCTGAATGTTCCGACTGCCTTTTAAGGTTTATGGAGCAAAAATAACATATATATCATTAACAAAATAGATGTTATAAAAAATGAAAATTTTTATCTAAAATTTGAAATTTTTTAAAATGAAAATCATCCCCCCACGCGCCATATAAACTAAAAAAAAATAGATTTCGCTCCGAGTAACAAATCAATTATGGCAAATAAGCTTCCTTCAACCAATTTGGAACGATTTCTAAGACGGATTAAATCTTCGCTTACACATTAATAGCGCAAAATATACCGCCCGTTAATTGTCCCAAATTGCCCAAAATGGTAAACCTTAAACCCTCATAACTGAACAAAAAATGATCACAGGTGAAATATCTTTTCAAATTTAAGCTCAGGATAATACCTTTTGAATGATAAAAAAAATTCCGTCAAAAATGGCTAGTTAAAAAGTCGAAATTTGCTGAAGAAAAAACCCACCCCGAGCACAAATATTCCGTTACTTTCGTATCGAAAGTTGGAACAATCATTTATTTTATTAATAATTATATAAGTTAAAAAATCATGGTCAATAGCGTCATCCATGACAATTAGATAGACCAACATACCTCTGGCATTGTACCTCCCCCCAGAGTGTTGTCAGCCCCATCCACCTGATCCCCTCCCCCGCCTGACTGTGGATTGAGGAGTCCAGCACTTCCGCCCCTTCCCCCCTCGTGACTGTTGTCTGTAGTCTGTTTCTCAGCAGTGGTCCCAAGTGACTTCTGTGAGTCGGCAGACTGCCGATCTTTCTTCTTCTTACCCCCCTTTTCTTTGGCCATAGCTGAGTCTGAAAAGCCATGGGAACAAATATATAAATGATGAATGTAGCTTTTAACTATCCTGATCTCGTTACCTATCCTTTCAAAGTTCAGTGCAGTTATTCTAATTAGAAAAAGGTTTGAAAATATACTCTGTAACTTTGATAAATTAATTCTTCTTCTTCTTCGTTTTTAAGCACTTCTTACGCCTCTGGTGTCAGCGACAAATTTCATCCCCCAAAGAAAATTTTTCCGACCTTTTTTAGAGTCGACCATATTGATTTTCCGACCTTGATTTCTTACGGTGAACTCAATTGGTCTTGAATGAAGTTCATTTTGAAGTAAAAAATTTAAAGAAAAATAATTGCCAAAGAGATATATTAAGCATAGTAACGAAACTTCCCAAGCCAATAATTTTCGAGCAGACACCAGTTAAGCCATTTAAATGTCATTTAAAATTTGACTGTTCTATAAGTTTTGAGTTCTCCTCGAAACACATGCGCACAGGATACTTTTTCCGTCCCCAAGTGGAATGAACCTTTTAAACGAATGAAATATGAAAAAAGTGAAGTCGGAGTAGTTTAATTTGCAGCCAAGATTTTAAAAAATGAAAAAATTGTGGAATGCAAACATGCCCAAAAAATGAAGGATGGCTGACAAAATAACAAGAGCCTATTAAAAGGCTTAAGTGATTTGGTTAAACAAGTTGTATGCAACAGAGTTGTTTGCAAAAAAGTGCATGTCCTGTTTGACAGCGCTTGCTTATTGCAAGGGTATGACACATATGACACATAGTCAAAGCTAACAGAGCAAGCTAACGAAATGAAAATAAGACGCAATTAACAAAATCGAAAATATATGTATTAAGCGAAAAAAAATAAGGATAGTCAAGAAACACACTTAACAGCACCAAATAATTATTTAATTTTTAAGTAGCAGCCACTAAACTGACAATGCGTAAATTGCACTAAGAACACGTCTAAGCCGCTCATTGCGCCGAAAACAAAAAATTGCCATAAAAATTGTTGACAAAATAATTTTGAGCAACCCAGTTTTAACACTTTTGCAAGATAAACAATCTGAAACTTTAAATCATTCTTTTTTCGACCTTGAAGCGACACAAATCAAGGTAACTAAACCGAAAAACATAAACCGCAAACATCTAGGCCGAATGAAGCTTCTAAGAAAAAAAAGCAAAAAAAGAAATGTAAAAAGTCAGGGCTATTCATTTTACAAACTACAGGAATACATCAAAAAATATCGTATCTACGACAATAAATTGGTAGCCACACAAGAAATCTCTACAATGTGGCAACTAAGCCTTGAAAACAAAAGCAGACAAACATAAATCCGAGAATTCAATTTTTCCCGGATATTTTTAAAATAAAATTTCATGCCTAAGAAAACAAGGTACGAATGTGACTCAAATCCCAGAGCTTAGGGTACAAAGACAACCGCGTTACCTTTAGGACAAGTAGGAAGCAGTCGCGTAGTTACTAAGATTCACTAATGAAGTAACTTCAATTTCAATTTTAGATGTAAAAATTGTTTACGGGAAAAAAGTCAAGTTCCCCCCACAATCTTGGTTTGCATAGGCTCCTTTGAAAACAAATTTGAGATATAATATTCTGTCCAGTTGCTGTAATATCATACATATTTTTTTTTCCACTTTTTTAGAGGCCAATATTCAATAGTGCCTAAAGTGAGTTATTATTGTTCCGACCATTGAAAATGGTGAGGAAAATTGTATTCGGATGTTTAAAGTTTTTTTTTTATTTTTTTTCCAGGCCAAATTAAGTAGCACAATTTATCATCGTACTGGGTCGAGAGATACATAAATTCAAGCCATTTAAGCCGTGATTTGAACGACGTTAACAAATTTCCCCAGTGTCAAGAAAAAACGGTTTGAAATTTTTGATTTTTGGCCTAACTTCGAACTAATGAGCAGGCTTAATTATGCTTAATTTAAGGCTTGAAAATTTAGTTTTATTCAAGTAAAGTTAGTTTTTGAAGTTCTTCATTCCTAAAATTTGCTCTAATTGAGACATTTTTGTTTTAGTTGTCATTTTTCTACAGAAACTGTTTCCAATTGGCCTATTTTATTATCACTAACGAATTATCCTCAGTTCTATTTTTCGTTAAGATCTTTTTTATCACAGCACGCAGAAAAAAAACGACACATATTTAACTTTTTAATTTTTCAAGACTATATGTTCGAAACATTCTGTGCTACTTGCACAGTAACCGGCTATCCTTGTTTGTGTTTTTGGAATCATTCGATAACTCTTTTCACTATCTTTAATTTACGTAAAACCATTACTGATACAATACCGCTCATTAATTTTTTCTCTGGTGTGCACACTTTTTGTTTGCACTCTTGCGGAACACTTTTTTTCTTGTGTAAATTTGAGCGTAGTTTTGAATGCCAGCTGCAGAAAAACTCAAATATCAAAACAACCAAATGATAAAAAAAACTAATATGACAAAAATTTTAAGACCTTTTTCTGATGAAAAAATCATATATATTTGCTGAAAAAAATCATACAATCAATTCTAAAGAATTGGTGTTCTTTACCAACACTATCCCTTTCGAAATGATAAAAAGTACTGTCTTTATTGACTTTCACAAAACAAAAAAAAACTATGATCTTTCAATTTGTTGCAACCTGGTTCCTTTTGCTTTGGTACATATTTAAACTATAGTTTAAGGCTTTCAGATATTATTTACATATCTTCTCATATTGAAATTCTGAACATTTTCAGAAAGTAAGCTTGAAAATCTTAGTTTGATAGCTGATGACTGCAGATTGTAAATTCGGAAGGGTAATTAATATTGATTGTCAGCACCAAAATGATAGAAAACTCTAACCAAGAATGAAAAATTACAAAATCCCGCCAAATAGAAAAATACATCACATTCTGCCTATTTACTACTATATTTACAATAGTGAAAAGCTATAACAATTGTATACAACAAATTTACACCCTCAACCATGGTAAGCACAGCACCTTAGCCCTCAGTTTAAGCTTAAGTAAGCATAGATTAAACAGCAACAGAGTTCATATCAATTGATGATATTGGATCTAGCCTTTACATTCATGAGCGAAGCACCTTGATAACGAAACGGTTGATGCGATTGTTTTAAGCCTTGATGGCCTTAGTGTTATTTTTCCACATCGAGTTTTTCTTCATAACTTAAATCAAAATTCTATGAAAGGAAATATTGGACTCCGATTGTGTTCGATGACATGAAGAGCTTGTTTGTTCACGCGTACATTCCGTTGACGACCTCGTCATCTGAGATGTGTTCTCCCACAGTTGGAGGCGGTCCATCGTAGACCATCTTGCGCAGCTTCTTAGGGCCCTTCTTCGAGTTTATGTAACACCTGGAACAAATATATATAAAAAACAATATTAAACATCTTTAACTATTTTGAGTGATTTTAACGAACTAAGTTCTTTCGCCCTTTCAAATTACAAATCGATTTTAAAACAACTGTACACTAAAAAGGCCGAGCAGATAATTGCCGATGCATCTGCGACAAAAAATTTTCTTCTCAAACCCCCGATGTCTCCTCCTCTGAAGAATCCCTCCCTCGCGCCACCAGAAGCACCATTTCCCAATTAAGACCCATAAACACCTATCTAAAAAAATCGACCCAAACGTCCCTCCAAACTGCCCCAACGGCAATTCCCAACACATCACTACGTGCCGTTTTAACTGTTCTAAGAACACTACTAAATTAACTCCCATAGACTTATGGCTTTGAACAAGTGATATAACGACAAACATGACTAAAAAAGCAAAAATATTTTTTAAAAAAGTCCTTTACCACTTCAACTAAAGGCTTAATATTATTGGTTTATTTATAAGCACTACAAAAGATACTTGAGCTGCACGGGGCTATTCTGATGGGCGAAGGACAGAAAACAAAAACAGTGGAAAGTCAATTATTAAAATTAGTCAGCTAAAAGGAATAAAATAAAAGGATAATTTGCTTCTTTTATAACGAAACCCTCGAAAAATAAGATTTGTTGCACAATTTGAAAACTCTGCATAATTCTGCCGGTTTTTTAATTCTGCCAATATTAATACAGTGTCACTGGAAATGTTTACTTTCTTTGAAATTTTCAATTTTCTCTTTGGAAAATTGAAATTTGATTGGCTGATTTTTTTGAAACATTAGCCTATAATGGATTCCACCGAGCTGTACCCATTTGCATCTATTTGCGATACTCTCCTTTCATAAAAATGATCCAGAAATAGGATGGAAGACAATTTAAGCTCATTGAACCTCATGAAACAATGGTTACGTATCAAAAAGTAGACAAACTATAAATAAGACACGTCCTAAACAAGACAAAAACTGTATTAGACAATCAAAAGTGAACAACTATACAGAATAAAAGAATATTTTTTTGCTTGACTTCATTTTTTTTTATCTCCATTCTGATTGGTCGACGCTTGTATTTGTCTACTTTTTGACGGGTATGAAATAATGGCCGTCTGCTTTTAGACCGCACTCACTCCTTAACAATGTTCTTGTTTTGTAGAATGACCAAACGGTCAAAACCAGCAGTATTAATGACTTTTGGCTTACGGAAACCATTTATGTGATTTGGAACCAATATGATGATCAACTTAAACTGCAAAATTTAAGACCAAAATACTGTTCGAATTGAATGGGCAAGGAAAGAAACAAAAACAAAAAATAGGATATAAAAAATTTACACAGGGGCGAAGTTGCATTTCGCATACACAAGCAAAAGTATGATCCATAGCGCTACTGGGAAAAAGAGTAAAAATTTGAGACTACAGTGACGCACGCCAATTATGACGCATTAGTAGTACTTTTTTCTTTCTCTGACGCAGGCCAATTATGAAGCATTAGCAGTACCGGTCAATTTGAAAAAAAAAGAAATTACCAACAAACATGCCTCAATTTATAGAGCGGATGCATTTTAACTAGTTACGAAAAAGTTCTAGGAACATTAGGAACATCTAACCCTGCCCAGGTTCGAACCCTATATTTTGTTGCGGTTTCCTTCCCAACCTCTACGCTACAGATCCATGATACCTTGAAGCTAAAGTGCTATTTTAAATATAATAGTCTGTATTAATATCCTTAGCATTGGCTGTACTTAATAGCTGGTTAATGATCAAAATGAACACTTTCAAAATCAACACTAATATTTGCGACTTAGGTTGAAAAAAAAATGAGTTCATACTATCACACAAGCCTTGCTTGTGTAACAATGGACTAACCGAGGGCCTTTAACGGGCCTTTTTGTTAAGTGGGCAGTGGACTCGAACTGGATTGAGACAAAACAACCTCCAAGAAGTCAGTTCAAATCGCAACAACCTCCAAGAAGTCAGTTCAAATACAAAAAAAACCGCGTAAGCGAGCACTGTGTTCACGAAAACACTGACCACTGACTCAGTGTGTGAAACAGAGTCCCACGAAGAGCGCAGTTCAATTGGGGTGCAGGGTGAATTCCCATAGATTCCAATATTCATAGCAATCAAAATAAAAATAAAAATCAGTCGCATAAGTCCCAAAACTTATCTTCTTGAATTCAGCTTGGTTGAAAGTTGAGCCAACGAATTTATGAATTGATTATTTACCGCTCACGCAGTATAAACTCAAATTACAGAATAGCGCCCGCCGCAGTTCCACCGACGTATTGCAAGCTTTTCTACGAAATTTAGAGCCGGTTATCGCCGAAGCGGCGACGAGCGCGGACCAATTGAAAAGATTTGGGACTTATGTGACCCCTTTTTAATTTCGGGACCTATAGGAATACTTTTAATTTTAGGCGTATGAATAAGCACCGGGGGCAGTACAAAAGTGCCGAAGTACAACAGTGCCAAAAAAGGAAACGTTGTTCTACAGTGCCAAAATTTATTTTGAATACTGTTTTTACTGATCCCAAATCACTGACAACCAAATTATTTCAAATCTACGGAAGTTTAAAATTCAAATATGGCCATTTTAACAGAACTCGAAATATTCAAATATCCTCAATTATTGGCTCTGTTGAACACATTTTCAGTTTCGGCGCTGTTGTACTTCGACACTGCTTAACGCCACCTCCGATGGTTTCTCGATTGATGACGAAGCGCTGTTGGTCCATTTGGTTCCAACCTCGACAGATGAGGCAGAATCAACATGGAAGGGAAATACACGATGGAAAACAAGTAGAGATCCTATGGACATCTGCGGATTCAAACTTTCTCGAACCCCAGTTACCCAAATTAGAGATCTGATTAATTACATCGAGGCTTACTTCGACGAAAACTTTGTGCGGTATATCTCCAATATATCAAATTTGTATGCCAGAGAGAGAAAAAAAACATTATTAATTCAACGCTTACTTTGACCCCTGAGCATTTTCAAATTTTGTCCTTGTATAGAATCAAAATTGATAGCCGAAAGAGATTTTATCAAAAAATATTTTTGCATTACACCGACATAGCCATTATCAACAGTTGGTACACGTGATTATGCCGATGCCCCGGAAACAGTTGACTTGTGTTAACTCAAAGGAAGAGTTGCTTCGGCCTTATGTCAATAATTCGATCTCGAGAAAACAGATTAGGGCGCCCCCGATTTTCCGAAACCGATTATGAACATATGCTATACTCGGCAGAACCTATACCCAAAAAAGAAGTTAGAACAGATGGTTACGACCATTGGATAGTTTTCGTGGACAAACGTGTGCGTTGTATTAACCCGGAATGCAAAGGCATTATTCAAACCCAGTGCGAAAAATGTGAAGCTTATCTTTGTTTCACTTAAGACAAAAACTGCTTCAAAACTTTCATTTGAAATAGGTTTTTGAGTGATTTCAAACGCGTTTTGTTTCATGCTGTGCTTCGAAAATTTCGAAGTTAGTTATTTTTCGGCAGTAACACATGAAGTTACATCAGCGTAACGAGGTAAAATCATATGAAGGAGTGTTGAAATCATTTTCAGCTTTTCAAGCGTGAGTTTTCAGTACGACCCGAGACCAAAGCCACCGAAAAAAAAACTTTTATACCAAAAAACAAAAAACCACGCAGAAGAGGGTTAAGGCATTGAAAAGTGACTGACCTTTAGGACATTGAAAGGCGACTGACCTGAACACTACGATGAATATCATCAGAAGCGATATAAGAATGCCCACAAATAGAGGAACCAGTGCCTCCAGTTGATACACTGTGCTCAAATTGCCAGATGCCACCCTTGATTCAACTTGACCTCTGTGTGCACTATTGATAGGCGTGAACGAATTAGAGTGATGCGATGAAGAAGAGTCGTTCACGAACTGGACAGAAGAATCGTTATTTCCTCCATTTCGCTTCTCAGGAACTTCTTCATAAAAAGTTATTGCTTTGAGATGAAAGCTTTGAAAATTTTACCATCATGAAAAATTAAATATTTCAAGTTAAAAAACGATGTTTTTTCTATCAGTTTTCAACATTCAGTTTCCTTATTTCATTTTCGGATACCAAATTTCTGATTGAAGCAATCTCAGTTTATTATAGTGCTTGAAAGCTACAATGAGTTAATAAAAAAACTTCAACTTTCTAGTTAACATAAAGGAATCCTGTTTTTAAATTTCTGAGCATTAAAAAAAATCAGATAAAATAACCTAAACCTTAAGCGCTTTTTCGCAACATCGCAAAACTTTCTAAACTAATTTTGAACTTAGTCTCATAAAGATAACTTTTCAGAACTTATAAGCTCTTAAAACCTAACAATAATCATAAGTTGCTTAATTAAGTTGATTGACGTTTAACTAGTGAGTTTCTTTTTGGAACTAAAAGACTTTAGTTTATTTCAACATTTCAAGCGAGCTAGTTATTTCAAGCTATCTCAACACTTGTCCTTACCTGTGACCTTATCGGTAGATGAAGAAGATAAAGACGAGTCACTGAATCCCTTCCTGCATGCAATCTGACAGTCCACCAAACTGACGAAGTTGTTCCTGTTGGCGTTGCAGCCTCCATAGATGAACATCTCACACTCTTTGGTGACTGTGTTGAAGAAGTAGCGAGGCATGGCTGCCCTGCATGGACCCACTTTCGAGGGCTGATCACATCGGTGAACTAAAGATATCACAAAGAAATTAGTATACTGAGCGAATTAAATGAAAAATTAAGCAAAATTGTGCAAGAAAAATTGTGCGTAACTGTTTATGCAACGGATCCTCCCACAACTCGTTCTACCCTTTAAAACAAATATCTCAGATTCGGGAGGGTAGTTTTTGAGAACTGTCAAAAAGTTTGAAAAAACGGCCAACAAAGCAAAAATTTGAATTTTCTGAGGGCCATAACTTTTTTGTGTGAAACCAATATCTCAGATTCGGGAGGGTAGTTTTTGAGACAAGTCAAAAAATTAAACGGTCAAAAATCGGAAAATTTGACTTTTTCAAGGGTCATGACTCTTTGTGTAAAAAAAATTGGGTGTAGCCGCTGATGCAGGTGAGCTTCCCATAATGCGTCCTTTTGATTGAAATCAAAATCTCAGATTTGGGAGGGTAGTTTTTGAGAAAATGTAAAAAATCCAAAACTATGCATCAAAAATTCACCTCACACACTTTATCGAAGGCTGCAGAAAGTGGGTTAAGATAAGAAGAGACTAGGGTATTATGCAGGCACACAGGGTAGTGGGCGCACTTCCCACTGATACTTCTTTTTGAAACTCGGCTGAGCAGTTTTTGAGAAAAACTAAATTTTTGAAAGAAAAATTTTTCCACAGCGTCTCAAAAAAAATTAAAAAAAAAACCGATCCTATACATTTTCATAATATCTGTTTTTATCAAACAAGAACATATCAACCACCTATATAGCAATCAAGATTATACTTATCCTTTCTATATTTCGCCCCTCTGTTAGCAGATCTTTTTTCGTCAGAAAGTCTAGTACCCGATTGCAATACCTTGGCTAATAGCAAAGGTGAAAAGTATTATCTAAAGGTTCATTGAACTGCGCATGCTTATATACCATTCGAATCATCCTTGTCAAATGGTCCCGGGATAGCCGGATCAGTTCCGTCTTCATCTGAAACAAAGCAACAGCTACGAAACCAAACTTTCAAATAGAATCGATTAATTATTCAGTTATGTCAACTCAAACGGCTTCCAAAGGGATTCAAACAGGTGAAACTGATCAATTTCATCCCATGGTATTCAATTAACTACTTAGTCTTATCAGAACAATTAGCGACTCCTGTGCAGAATTTACGACATATTTTATGATAAGGTTACATAACTAACTTAAACAAAGTCGAAGCTCCTCGGATCTCAAAAATTTGTCTGAAAAAATGGGACTGCTATTCTAAAACCAATGATCTTCTCCTTGATTTGTCTTGTATGGAATATTAGATTGCTTTGTTTGTCGATACTTAAAAAGATTGCTTTGTTTATTGATACTTAAAAAGACTGGTTATTCATTTCATGAAGTAACTGCTTCCGTCAACTATTTTGAGTGAGTTGTCTTTTGCTGCGATTTGGCGTGTTACGTACGTCAATTATCAGATCTAACTCACTTGGGCTGGACGGGAACTGAAACGGATCTCGCTCGGTTTCTTCCTCTCCTTCTAACACTGTAGTTTCATCCACACTCTCAGGCCTCTCTGAAGTGACGTCATGATTTCTCACATCAGTAGTCTCATAGCCCACTTCAGCGCTACTATCCTTCCCGGTTTCACTATCTTCGTCTTTATCATTATCAGGTTCTAAATCAGATACAACTCCCAAATCAATTGGCTGATCGTAGTGTACAGCAACTATATCTTTCAAAGTCGATAACCAACTGCAAGTCACAAAACAAGGCGGAAAAACCTTGAACTGAAAAATACCAAAAATGGCCAACTAACAGTTGGAAAAGAGTCAATGAACGCAAGTATTGAACCCTGCCATGGCAATGACAGTCTACGAGGCCGAGCTCTCACTTGACCTTTAACTTCAGGTCTACCACAGCCTGACCGATTTCGGCTGCAATATTGGTACCACGTGAAAGTTCTAGACGCAAAAAAACGACCTTGAGTCGCTAAAAAAAGAGCTTCGCTCAACAAAATAACTCAGTCCGGAATCTGGGGAAATAAGAGGAACTGATTATGCTTAGACAGGCTGCAAAGCCTTTCATAGATCCTCTTCCAATCGCAGAAACGACCATTATTATTATATAACAAAAAAATACTGCTTGTTCTCTTTGTTGAAAAAAATAGAAAATCAAAGAACAAACTCTTTAAATTTCTAGAACAAATTATGAATAGCACTTTTTGATAAAATTAACCCAATTTGAGAAGACCAGAGCTACAGGTAAAATTATTTATTTCGCTGGGAAATCTGAAAACTTAATTCCACTTTCGAAACTAGAAGTCGATCACAGCTTTCGTGACCTTTACGCTTTCGCTTTTAGATAGTGGAGTTTGCCTTCCTTTTATCAAAGAAAATGAACTGAACTTGAAAAAAATCAAAAATCAAGCCACAAAAAAGTCAATTTGAGCCGGAACAATATTCATCGCGACTTATCTAAAAGTCTGAACTACACTGGAAGACAAAAAAAGCGCAAATTCACGTTTTTACTCTCTAAAAGGCCTTTTTATGTCCATTTTGGCCAACACTTAATTCGTTTTTCAGCAAAATTTTTAAATCGACTAAGAGCTAATTATCAAAGCTCTTCTCTATAAAACAATCAATATTTAGTTTCAAAGACTCGCCAACGTAATCCGGGTCTGAAAATGACAGATTTCCTCATCTGCACTAAATTTTTCAATCGGCGTCAAAAAGTAAATAACAGTCGAGAGTAGTAAAATTTTTACACCGATTATTTCAAATATCTCGCTGAGAATGTTTCACGTCGCATAAGAGTTCACAACGACGCAAATATTAGTGAAGATGACGAAATCTGGCATTTTCAGACCCGGATTACGTTGGTAAGTCTATGAAAGCAAATATTGATAGTTTCATAGAGGGTAGCTTTGATCATTTGCTCTTGGTCTATATAAAATTTTTACTAAAAATCGTAGTAAATGTTGCCCAAAATGGACATTAAAAAAGCCTTTCAGAGATAAGAAACCTGAACTTGCGTTTAATTTTGTCCGTTAGTGTATGTTCATCGACTCTTAGACAATCGCACAATATTAACGTTAACTTGAACTATAAAAATTATCGGTAAAAATCAGAATCACAGGTGGGGCGGGGAGGTAAAAGAAAACAAAAATTAAAAAAGTCACGACATTTATAAAAGACTGAACTACGTTCATCAGCTCTTAAACAAAATTTTTTCATTCGTTGAAAGGACTGAAAAATTGAGACCACAATATACATAATTTACCCTAACGGCGGAAAAATTTTTTTAAAACTTTTGTAGGTCGACCAAATTGATTTTCCGAGCTCTCCTAAATTAACTAAATACTCGATCACAAAATTTTTGCCAATGTTTTTGAGCACGTTTTGGAAAGTTTTGATGGAAATTTTACGTCGTTTTTGGCGTGCTCCCCCCTCAAAATTAATATACATTGGCGCCAATGACGCCTTCAGAAAAGGGTCTGTCAGCCATAACTCGATGGCTCAAAATAGTATCAAAAGGGGTCCCTGTCTGCTATAAACGGGTAAAATTCGTGACAGGAAGGCCGTCCTTCTTTCATAACCCACCGCCCCCTACCCCCTCCCCCAATTAAATCGGCCCCTGACTTACCCTGTTCGACTTGAGCTTTGGTTCTCTTAAAGATGACAGGTGCATTGTTCTTGTTTGTCTTCTTTGATTCTGCCTCGAAGAAGTAGCAGTTGGCACTGTCCACCCCACAGTCCATCAGCAGACACTGCACTTTGGCCGGCTGGTACACCACTATGTTGCAGTCTGGACCACAAAACAAGTGAAAAACATATTGCAAGAACATTAAACTCGTATTCAAGAAGGGAAAAACAAAAAAATACAAAATTTAACAAGGATATCCAGTTGATGTGTAAGTTGTATAGAATACTCCGACCAAAGATTGGAGTGAAAAATTGAAAAAAAAAAATAACGAGAACTGTTTTTTTTCTTCAATTTTCTCTTTTTTTCTTTAAGGCGACAAAAATAGTTTAATGAGATGGTATAATAGCTAAAATTATATATAAATGTCTAGATAAATAAATTTTTCTTATCATATCATTCGTAAATTTCGTGCTCTTTACGATATCTCACTTGACCCCCTCGCTTCACCTAAAATTTGGCTAAAGAAACACTAGCTAATCCATAACATTGTTACAAAATGTTACATGACCGGCGGCTGCGGTATTTTCCGGACAATATCGAAACGGTTCCGAGCAATACTTTTCGGGAAATCAATCACAGATGAAAAAACTTTCCATTTTTGGACAAAATTATTGAGGATTGTTATATCTTAACAAAAGCGTTCTGAAGATTATAATTAACTTCCTTTAAAGATATTAGTAATTTACTTTCGTACTGACTCTCCGATAGCAAATTTTTCACACCGTATTTCTTGATACTGGAAAAACGCTTCCTGAATTTTTCCTCGCCCCTGGAAACAGAATTGAAAACGCTTCAATATAGCCGTTTCTGTGCTATCTGAGTTTAACATTGACAAAAATCAAAATCCAAAATATTTCCACATCTTTGGTGGTCGGAACAAAAACTTACCTGCGTCAAATTTCGCAGAGCACTTTAGCTTGCATTTCTCCATCAAGCCCTTCAGCTTATTCGAACTCGCTTTTCCCAACAACTCGCCGCCTAGCTTTTCAGTTTCGCCCAAATCAATATCGTAGCCATCAAACGTGCTGTAGCTGTCTTCCGAGACCGAGGATCCATCATTGCAAAAACTGATTCCGATTAGAAAGGTAACTTCCAGTAAAAAACGTAAGCTGAGTTCCATTTTGACTCAACAATGCTACCCTACATTTAATAGCAACAGGTGGTAATTTACACTTTTAAATGAGATATGAAATTGAATTTTGGGAAATAGCAACTGATGGGTTGATGAAATTGAAATATTTTTTTTGTAAAGCGTGGTTGCAAATTCAAGTACGAAAAGGATTTTTTTTAGCCAAGTAATGGTGAAGAAATATATTTTTAACAAGTGTACAACTAAGTCAAAGCAAAATCAATGTAATCGATAGGGTAAAAGAGCAACAGTGGTGAAATAGCAACGCCAGATGTTTCTGAATTGATTCCACGCAGAGTTTACTTTACTGTGCTGATTCCACAACTATTGATTCTTCTCTCAATTTAAGAGCACTGTCCTGCCATAGCGCTGCAACATTGGTCAGTTTAGTTCATCGCATAGTTGTAATAAATAATAACACATATCTAATCTCTCGCTTCATTCTTAATAACTGAAAACATCAGAAAAAATCAACTATTAAGGAAAAGATGCTGATTTCAATGACAATCGAATACAATCGCTGCTAAAACCAAACCCCTTTTTAGAACTGTTGGCGCGTTTGTATTTTTAGCTCCTAAAAATGTCTGGGAAAGTCAGAATTCCCTGCCTAATCGAGTCTGGAATCATATTCGATCTTTTTCAGTCGTGTTCAGCTTCCAAAAAAGTTTAACATAATTCATCTGGTGTAAGCAATCATTACTAATTTGCTTATCGTGATAATTTTCACTCGTTAGAAAATGGTTGCCTAAATAGTGCTTCTGGAGACTTTTTTCATTCGCAAAAGATTCGATGTCTTGATGGCTCAAAATCTTTTTGTTTTTCTTTCAGATGCCCTGAAATCATATATTTTTTCTTTCAAAATCTAGAAAAATCAAATTAAATTTAGAAGATTTAAATGCGTTTTCTACTTCGTTATTTTTAAACCGTGTCTTTAGATGCTACCTGACAAGTGTGCGACTGCGAGTTCGACCTTAAATTATGGACTCTACGGACCTTGTAATTTTTGAGAAATCGCAATTTTACGAAATTCTGGAAAATCATAAATGCTTAAAAAATTTCGAAGACTTATTCTTCTTTCGGGAACAACATAAGTTAAATACTACTAAAGACTTAGAAAAATACAAATAACAGGATTAAATCATAACAAAGCAATATCAAAAAAAAATTGCGAGCAGCAAAAAAGACGATTCTTAGACGAGGTAACTTAATCTACAAAACATAAGCAGACAAATTACAGGCCGACAACTTTATTTGAAACAGAATATTCCTTCTTTGAAAAAAAACAGGTCCTGGTGAAAAGCGAACCCAGGACCTTTGCGTATTCTTTACCTCCAGGCTAAGTGTACCGGATACGCTCAGAAAAATGAATTCATTTTGGACAGCGTGCCACAACTGTAGCGTGGACAGCGTGCCACAATTTTCCAGCCACACTGTATGCACAAAAAGACTATAGAGATTTTGCTTGAAAAAACTACAACACACCCGAATACAAAAACCCTCCCCGTTTCGAGTGGTCGTACAAAAACTCCTGACCTTAAAATATTGCTCAGAATAAAATCAATTCTTGGATACACAATAAATTTAGATATAAAATTGGGGAAATTTCCAAACATATATAACATTAATTATTCCTTAAATCCAACAATTAAACACCTCAAGCGAATGATATCTAATATAAAATTAAATCACATAAACATTTGAATCGACCATAATTAAAGCACCAAAATGAATACCATTTTACTTTTTTGCCCCTTTCCCTGAAGTTATTGACGGAAAAACTGGGGGTCCCATTGATGCCACAGATTTGAACTTTGCGGGGTTGAAAAATGTCGGCATCACTGGCGGTTCACTTTCATCATTACTTTCAGCAATTGGAGGCGCCCCATAAGATTTTTCTTGACCTATACTCATTACATCTGATTGGTTCGAGTTGCTAACACTTTGATTTCCATTTGAAAACGGAGGCTCAAAGCCTCTGAGGCCAGTTTGATAGCCAATATTTTCGACGTTTTCTTTCGAGGCGTGTTGATTGCTTTCTTGTGCGTACCTATTTTCAGTGTTCCAATCACCTTGCTGAGGCTCTCGATACTGAGGCATCTGAGGTTGTGTTTCTGCGCCTGCTGATGTTGGTTCATACATATGGTGAGGAGTTGGCATCGCTGGCGGCGGCAGAATCTTAGAAGCTTCTGCGACCTTGAACGCATTTGGGTATTGTTGGTACTGACTTGATCTATTTCCACTAAGTCCACTTCTTGAGAATGGATTCGGCGCAGCTGGTTGAGAAGGTGGCATTGCATTCTGAGTGTACGATAGAGAAAACGGGGGAGGCGGTGCACTTTCTTGTGGTTCCTTCTGGCTATTTGAAGAGCTAATAACAGCGCTATGAGAAGTCAAATTGCCACCCTGCATTTGGTTCGGAGCCGTTTCATACCTTGGAGAACTCGAGAATCCCGAAGTCTGGTGATTGTAAGTCGAAGCCTGGTTACCAGAACCGACAAATGTGCTTGATGATCTGACTTCCGAAGACCAACCGCTACTACTGTGAGTTGTCACTAACCCGTCGTCTTCCTCTCGTTCGTCTTGGTTATCCGAACTCTCTTCTTCCGATTCTTCGTCGTCGTAGTCAAACTGCGAGTGAGCTCCTGAGTTTCTTCGCAAATTCGCTTCTTCGAGATAACCACGCGAAGAGTAGTTAGTTGTAGCCGTATCTTCCTGGTAGAAATTACTGTTGACGTTACTGGGGTACGAACTAGAAAAATTCGCAGCTGGGTTCTGACTTTCGTAGTTGAAGTCGTTCTGGTTCATTGACGGGATACCCTCGAGGAAGATATTTGAGTTTCCGAACGGTGGTTCGCTGGGCGGGGGAGGCGGACCTTGGAAACTATTATTCATTCCATCATTTTGTTCTGTTACGCTGCCTTTGGAGCCCAGTCGTCGTAGCGGGTTGTTGGTATGCGATGAAGCCGTGGATCCTAATGACAGTCTGCTAGTTTGTCTTTTAAGGTTCGCCATTTGAACTTCGTCTGACATTTGATTTCTGTTCATATCAAAAGAAGGACCAGCAAACTGATTGGATGAGTTCCTTTTTGTGTTCGGATCGAAAGTTTGTTCAGTATTTGATGGATATTGTTCGAAGTGATCAAATGAAGGTCGTACAGACGTCGCCGCAATTTCATCTTCAGGAACTTTAGGTCCTGGGAATTTATTCGATATGGAATTTTGTTCAGATCTAGGTTTAGAACTATCATGCAATTTCAAATTATGATTTTCTTGTTGTTGTTGCACTTTGCTGTTTACTGTAGTATAATTGACAGGGTCAGCAACCTGTTGCAAACGAGGATACTGTAAAGATGAACTTGATTTTCGTTCGGGGATATTCGAATCCGATTCAATAGTTGAGTAGGCAGCGGTTTTTCCGACATTCGTCACACTTTTGCTAGCTACTTTTTGTACTTCGTTTTCGCCTTGAGACACATCCAATGTCATTCCAGTGATTTTTCGATACAATTCCAAAAGGTTTTTAAACCATTCATCCCTCGTTTTACTTAATTTCAAAGCCAGCATAAATGAAATCTCAGTCAATTGCACAATAAAAGCGAGGCCTACGATATTGGCGTTTACGAGCAAATTTACTGAAATATTTTCGCAATACTTGAAAGCTGTTTCGAACTTACCACAGTCTAGATATTTGCGAGCTAGAGTCAGTTTACACACTTGCAAGTAAGGAATCGTGAAGCTCGGAAAACTTTGTTTAATGGCGTGTTCGTAAATCATCGTCAACGTCATTGGTAAGAAATTCTTTCCGACTGAGGCTGCTAAAGATTTTTCCATTGGCAAGCCGATAAGCACCAGATTCTTTGGAACCTTATAAGATGGCCAGTCGAAATCCAACTTGGCCAGAAGATTACATAATTGCGATGCATAAGGTCTCCTCAAACCAGACAAAACATCGCTCAATGACATGCAATATTCAAACATTTTTTCTTCGTTGACGCAATTCGATAGAATGATCGCTAAATGCTGCTTCCAATTCACACTCAAAGCCTCATTTTCCACAAAATGGAGATCTTTGCATGTTTTCACTATAATGTATGTCTTTAATGGATCGTTAATTGCGACGTTTGCCTGATCAAACTGGATGCAAACTTTGTTGAAAAGACTTGGGCACATCACTTGACTAAAGCGCAATGCAATACCCCAGAGTTTTTCTTGCACGGCTAGTTCGACAAACTTTTTTGATTCTCCTCTTAGGAGCATTTTGGTCAGCTTCGTCATTATTTCCGCCCTTTTGTCATCACACGGTGAGGTCAAAATCGTTTCGTTCAAATCCGACAATGAAATTGATTTTGGACTATCGAAGTCTAACTTATCGTTCTCGTCCAAATCTTCAGTTAATATGTCACAGATTGAAACTTCATCCGGCGCGCCATCATTATCAACCAGGAGCAACAAATACTTCAGAAGAATCATGAAGTCAAAAACGTCTCCAAGTTGAGCGAAAAAATCTGTTGGTTCAAAACTTCTCATCATTTTTCGACACTCTTTTAATCGGTTCGAAAGGTATCTTTTAACTTCACTCTTTGGAGCTTTCCAAGACTGGCCATAAAGAGGTCCAGGAAAAGTCTCCAAAGCCTCCGGAAATCCCGTCGAAGAAGAAACCGAAAAAGTGTGCAGATATAAATGACTTTTACCGCCACTTTGTAAGTCGGTAAACAAAAAGGCCCCATTAGGGGAAAACTTGGCTATAGAATGCAAACCTGGAAACCTTTCTGGCGTCTTTCGACCAGAGTCTGACGCATTTGTCACTACGCTCGGCGATACATAGTTGTCAACTCGAGATTGCACTTCATCGTCATTTGTTCCGACGGCACTAGACTCTGCGGGCGAATAAACCGAATCCCGAGTGACCGACGTCGTCTCGCGATCACTTCTTTTTTCTCTTTTCTTCATATAAGGGTAGTACATGTTCCGCATAGCATTAGCGTACATTTTGTACCACTGGTCGTACATTTGCATCGTACCCATATCGTATCCAGGGTAGTACGGCGAAGGTGCTGGCATATAGGGATTGTAGTTCATCGGTTGAGCCGGATACTGCTGAGGCTGTCCGAAATTACCATGCATGTTATTATACGCATTATACGGAGTTGAGAACTGATTTGGAATCGGAGGATTAATCAGAGGTGTATGGCCTCTTGATGAAGTTTCATTTACTCCATGCTTTTCACCAGCTTCTGGACCCGGATTTCCGGCTCCTGAGTTCGTAACAGGCGATGGAAGATCAGAATTCGTCCCAGTTTTCGATTTTCCACTTGGCGGTCTATTTAGTGTCGAGGAATTCATGGGTTCGAAACCTGATGTCGACTGATGATTCACCTGTGGGCTCGTGTATGAATTATTCTGATAATAACTCTGATTGGCCATTGGGTAGGCTTGTTGGCTCGTGGTTTGATAACTCGGCCAATATGGCGACATTTGAGGTTGCTGCATAGGATGTTGATAGTAACTGAGAGGAGTTCCAGGACCTCCAGGCATTCCAGGAGCTGCTGACATTCCAGGAACTCCATGAGTTCCAGTCATTCCAGAAGGAGCAGGCATCCCAATATTTCCCGGAAGGGGAGGGTATCCCATCTGAGCAGTCATAGGGTACTGCGGAAACTGCATTGGCTGAGGATTATAAGCTACTGCATTTGGCTGCCCATACCCAGGGTAGGACACCTGTGATACAGGAGTGCTGTCTCGCGACGCAGTTCTATTGTGGTTGCTAGAAGCACCATTTGCGCTAAGCACCGGAACGAAAGCGCTGTTGGTCTTGGTCGGATATTTGGGTTTGTCAGGCAAAACTGAACTGGCCGCGTGAGATGATCGTAATTTTTCAGACATCAAAACCAACGCAACTGCATAAGCGCACCTGAAAACGTTGACATTTTCTTTGATGAACTAAACCAATTTTAGATAAATGGAGGATAAGCTTCGCTGGGAACTTACTTTCGCTGGGAAATGCAAAGAAAAACTAAAATTCACTTACGGAACTAAACACCAAGTACCGCTTTCTAGAAATTCGCACTTTCGTTATTGGAAAGCGTAATTTGTTTTCTATTCAGCCAATGAGTTTGGAGTGAATTTAATTTTAAGTCAAACCACAAAAAAACTTGAACGTGAACAACTTTTAAGTTTTTTGCCCGAAAAAACCACACGACCCAAAGACAGCTCATGACGTTCAATAACATTTAACAGTTCACAGTTTTCTGTAGCTTGAGGTTTCACTACATCCAATTCAAGCATATATTCCGACAACTACTAAAAACATCGAAAAATTAAATTATATTTATCAATATATGAGATAGAATTTTATGTAAACTATTGGTCTCGCCAGGATTGGACAATTGAATACAGCCAATTAAAACAACAACTTTGTGATCTGTTTCGGCCAAACTTAAAATTGGTTAAAAAAAATAAATTCTGCGCCAGAATTATAGAGCACGTGAATCAGTGTTATAGACCGACCCCGTTATATTTAAAAAAAAACAAGAAACCAGGCAAATTTCACCGTCTTCGATTTGAGCTCAGCAAAATTTATGTTTCTTTTTAAATATTAATGAATTGTTTTAATAACAATATCGTTTTAATTGTCTGTATTCTGTGCCAGTAAAAACTGAACTACCCGAATAAATCTGCGCTAAATGGCACAGCGTATAAAAAAATTATCTTTTCAATAACAAAGAAATTATCATCAAAAAATCATTACTATAATTCCAATAAGTTACAAAAATAAAGGCAGTCTCTTCAATAATGGTATTTTCGTGTCCAAACTTAACAAACTTTTCGAGAATAATTCTCAGAATAAACATTTTTTTTCTAAATATGAACAAGGACAAGGATGTGAAGTTTCTATGATTGCCTATACGACTATTTTATTTAGCACCAGCATTGGACTCTATTTTTTCGAACACTCCTTTCGCATTTCTGATGTTCATTAAAACTGCAGTTGACGAGATGGTCGTATCCTTTATTACTACCATGATGTAAGTGTTACTCGTGAACTGTTCTATGAATGCTGCAAAGCTCGAGTTCCTAACCTAAACATAGAAACATTGGGTTGAGACGATTTATCCAAGAAGAAAAGGACTGACATACGAGCTGAGATCACGTCTTTAAGAAGTGCTGTTGTTCCTCTGGTTCAGAATTACATGCAATTGCTTGGGTTATTTTCTTAGCTAGGAAAGATTACATCATCTTCAAGAAACGAGCACGGACGGATCATAGCTTCGAACCACCGAACTTTGGACTCAGAGGTGAGACATTATTTGCTTCGCCACTGCTCCCCACATTTTCACAGAAATTTTCAAATCAACAAAGGTTTTACATGAAAATCCGAAAAAACGGTATCAATTCAAGGTTCTATTTCCATGAAACTTGGTAAAAATTCGACTCCTAAATCTTCTTCCTTCTGAGAAGCCACAGGCAGAGCCACAATTACTCCTGCACTTGGTCTAATTGGTCTTAAGGCATTCTCTTAGGCTTCACAGGATGATATAGTTATTACCAATATCTTATACTAATCTACAAATTTGTGAGCCTCAAAACAATTTATTATTATTATTCTTATTACTATTATTATTAGTATTATGATTATGGTTATGATTATTGTTTATTCAACGTATACTTGTGGAAAATAGGAAAAAGCGCTCTTCGATAATTCGAAAGTCCTGATTGTCGTTTTTTTACCTCGATGCTGGAGAAGTTGTCAGCTAGTTTGGTGCAGCTGAGCTTGAAGTGCTTGATGATGTTGCTGATCTTTTCGAAGCGGTGCTCATCCTTCTGACCTCCACGTTCCCACTTCGAAATCACTACAAAAAGGTGTAAATTTAGCCATATTTAACTTTCCCCGCATTTGAATTTCAATTTTGAGAACCTTTATAAACAATATAATAATGTAACAAGGATGACCGTTGGCTATGCTATTAGTCAAAATTTTCTGTAATTTTCAATTCCTAGAAACAGCCATTGAGTTTGGAAAATGCTCAATTATAATGGTACCTATATTCAAATAAATGCTTCAATTGTGAGCTCAGCCTCTGATGAAACTTCGTCTAATTTGGTCTGAAAAAAAATTCAGTCCAGTTTTTCTCGACCTGAGAGAACTTTTTCAAATCTTTTTTGAAATCGAATAACGACCAAAAAAACGTCAATATTTTAACACACAATTACCTCCACGAGCTTTTTTGAGGTGGCCAAAATCGGCTGGAAAAACCCTGACCAAAATCCAAAGTTCTTTTCCACTTTTCGAGGGGTCGAAATAACATTATTGTGAAAATTCACAGTGCTGATTTAAATTATCCGGACAAAACGCATTAAACTACCAACTTAAAACGCGTTTTCCTCAAATTGGGTTGACTTAAGGTAAGAAATAATCAAGGCAAAACTTGCTTAGAACTTCAGCAAAATTAATTTGGTGCAATTTGTTTTGCGAAACTCAGGTCCAAAATTTTACCCCAAAAATAATCACTTTTGGATTTTAGTCGATTAAAAATTACGCCAAAACAACTAGGTCGATCACTGACATAATTATATTGAACACAACAAACTTCAAGAGGGGCACACTGCAAAACACTGTTAAAAGTAACTTTATTTTTGTTTGATAGACAAAAAAGGTCGTTTTTTTAAAATATGAAACACCAAACTTTCCTTCAAAATATTTTTTTTTGTAGAGTATACATTTTTTAAAGTTTGTTGGGTTACGTAAGAGGCTCACTTTGATATAATTATGTCTGTGATCGACCAGGCAGTTTTTGCCTAATTTTTGATCGAAAAAAAAGCCAAAAATAATCCATTTTGGGGTAAAACCTCAGCCCGAATTTTTAAAAAAACGGCACATTATTCATTCTGGTGAAATACTAAGCAAGTTTTTTCTTCATAAGTTTTTACCTCAAGTCAAACCAAATTGAGAAAATTGCGTTCTGTCCGGATAATTTAAATCAGCACTGTATTACGAACAAAGTTATAGTTTCGACCCTTGAAAAAGGTGGAGGAACGTTGTATTCGGGTGTTTTAGTTTTTTTTCTTTTTCTTTTCAACGAAAAATCAGGTACTACAAAAAACATCGGAATTGGTCGAGTGGTATATCAAATGCAAGCCTTTTCATTCGTGATTCACAAATTTTTCTCAATGTTGAGAAAAACCGGTTTTAAATTATTGAGTTTTAGTCCAATTTCGAGCGAGTAAAGCGATCGAGTGACGTTCGTTTTATGTAAATACTAGCCAATGAGGCTAAAAAATTAATTTCAATAAAAAAAACCAGTTCTGTAAGCTTCACTAAGCGCTTTCTGAGCCAATTCTAAATTAAAATTAGAAAATAAATTAGTTTTTTTCGTTTATTCATTTTTTGGAGGCAATTGTAGTATTTTATACCTAATTTAGTAATTTTCTACGCGTTTTATAGTTCTAAAGCCACAGCACGCAGAAGAAACGACGCTAATTTGAAGTTTTTGTAGTTTTTTACGAATCTGGTCTACTTTCAACATTCTCTGTTACTTGCACAGCAACAGGCTATGCTTGTTCTAATAGTTTTCATCGTAAAACACAGATGCTAAACTGCGCTTCGCAAACACTAGCTAGAGCACGACAGAAAGCAGCTCTAGAACACTAACAAGTGCAATACTAAATGTAAAAATAAGCCTCGAATTTGTAAAAATTCGGCGACGACTCGGACTCGAACCTACAACCTAGAATTATGAGTCTTATGCACTAATTACTCAGCCACGGACGCTCAGTCCATCGCAAACTCTAACCACAAATAAAGCCGAGAACAGATGCTATGAAATTTCCCAGGCTTTAGATCGTGATAGCTTATCATACTCATTATATATGTAGCACATTATACTCGCTAGCGTAATTATACAATTAGCCATGAGAGTACGTAAATTAGAAGAGTGGAAGAGAACCGTTTAATAATATCATCTACCTTTCTTAACAAGTAGTTATGATTTATAAAACCACAAAAAATCGTTTTGTTACTTCTAATTTCACTTGAAGCAATTTATGGACTGTACTCAAATTTATTCAGCTTGCTTTTCTACTTGATTCGCTAAGATTTACCAAAGCTACAATAAACGCTCACTGTCGCTGATTGGGACTGACCTAGAAATGTTGCCTTTTCAAAAAGAATAACTTCTTCCGCTTCGATTAACTCTGCAAAATTGTGAAGAGCTGCTTCAACTGCCTCGATATTCGGAATTAGCTGGTGGACCAAACTGCTCCAGGCCTCATACAGGGTTTCGTCCCAGATGGATGTCTGGAAGAAGGAGACGTCTATACCATCTGGCGTCTTGGACAGTGCCTGGCGCTTGAGACTCTCAAACTTGAACTTTCGATTCTGCTCTGCGATCAGATCCATTTTGTGGATGAGACAAAATACTTTTGCAGTTGAGTTTTGTTGCGAGTCTTTTTCGTCCTAAAATCAACTTAATCAAAAACAAAGACACCCAACCTCCACAAAGTAGGAATAAAAGCCGAATACTACCATTCATTATGAAATTTTATTGATACTTTTCAAAGTGTATTCATTATTTTTCAAATAACAATTCGATGTTAGCGCTACTTGAAACTGAAACGCTAAAAAAACCCATGCAAAAAGAGCTCTTGGATAATGCTTTGATATTTTGGTCCAAAGGTGTGAAAAAAAAATCAAGTGATAGTCTTACTTTGACAGCCTCCATGCACTTCTGGTAGTATAGAAGATCTAAGTCCTGTTCCCTGGACTCCACATCAAACACGTAGATGATGACCTCCAAATCACGAAAAATGATATCCTTCTGACCAGCTGAAACCAACAATTAAGGTTTGATTGATTTTAAAAATTGTGAAACTAAAAAATGCTGTAAATGGTAGAAAATAAGAAGTTACGCATGTCTCAAGGAAGACATCAAGCAAGTAATCTAAAAACCCGTATCGAATTCGGCAAATGACTTCTATCACCCTTGTCTCCGCCAGAAAGGGAAGTGCATTCACATCCCTCCCCTCCCCTCCCCTCCCCCCCCCCCCCCAAGGTTAATTGACGCAAACATATGGCTCAAAAGCTACCACTTTTGTCTTCGACTCATTACTAACATATTTTGAACTCGGTAAGCCTTTGATACTTCTTAACTTCAAAATAAACAAAACCAAACAGCCTACGTGTTTACATAAATTATGGTTCCCATATCTATGTTTGCATGTTCCCATAAATACACACAGAGGCTAAGCACCACTTGCGAAACAGCATAAAAAACATTATAAATAAAAAAAATGTCTACCAAAGTTTATATTTTCGTTTGTCTCGACGGAAAATCAATCTAGGCCCATATTTGAACATTCCAGTTATTTGAATATTATATCAGCAACGGAACAAAATTTTCGAAGAGGAAACAAAGTCGACAATCTTTGAGCAGACACCAGGTAAACCGAAAATGATATTTTAATTTTAAAAAAAAAACATTTTCAAGTCCCCACTGAAACTAGAATGAACATTTGCCTTGCTACTGCAAGGAAAGTTGCTTACATCAGAAGAAAAAACCATGATGAGGCATATTAGCCGACAAAACTTGAGCAGACAAACGAACTTAAACAGACAATTAAATTTTTCTCGGAATTTTTTTCAATTTCATGGATACTGATAAAACCAAGATCCGGCCAGGACTCAAAGCACAGATCTTAGGGTAAAAAAGCAACCGCGTTACTTCTAGGCCAAAGATTTTCAGAGAAGAGAAGTTATGAAGTGAATAAAAAAGAACTAGCAGGAGGAGCTCGTAATCAAAATGATTCAAGCTATCAATGATTCAAGCAAGCTATCAAATGATTCAAGTCTCAAGTGATTCTGTTAAACTAATTCTTCACCCGAAAAAAGTCTATAATCCAGTTAGATAACTCTTGCTAATCGCAAGCGTAAACAAACACTCACGTATGAAGTAGGACTCCCTGTAGGCCTGTTCTCCGCCACAGTCCCACAGGTGAAGCACCAGGTTGCCCAGAAAACGGACGAAACTAAAAGTTAAAAAATAATAAAATAAGTTGCAAGCAGAAAAAATACCAGGAAGCTGAGAGATAATAAAAATTATATACATACAAACATCATTTACGACATTCAAATTATATAATCTTCTAATACAAATAACTGAAAAACCACTTTGATCATTTGAACTCAAAGCTAAGCCCAGTTGACTGGCCCTTAGAACTGAGAGCAAAAGGGTAACAGTTTCTTTTTCAGATACTTTTTTTGCGTTTTTGAGAGAAAAATTGGATGCTGACATGACTAACTTTAAACTATTTGACCAAGAGATGCTCATTTGATATGACAAACTCTGAATTATTTGACTAGAATTAGATGCTCATTTGACAATCTCTAAAACATTTGACACAATTAGATGCTCATTTAACAATCTCTAAACCATTTGACACAATTAGATGCTCATTTGACAATCTCTGAACTTCTGACACTTACGCATGTTCGATTTCGTTGGTCGGTCCAAGTTTGCGAGTGTCTCTTGCTATGAAGTTTGCAAATATGATGGATTTCATGCTGGTCTTTCCTGCTCCCGACTTGCCCATGAGCAGCACTTTCTTCCTGATGTTGGCAGACCGGCTCCGTCTCAACTCTGTCGTCGGCAGCATTTTCAATTGCCAAATGGTACGATACTATTCAAAGATTTCTGAAAATCAGATCAGTAACCAAAACTTGCCACATATAGTTTACACAGATTTAAATTTTGGGCTCGACAGTAACATCGTGAGTCATTGATACTAATCATTGACAAATCAAAGCAAAACGGTCAGTGGGCGAATTCTATTTATGCGCATGGAAAGAGTCAATACGAGATGTTCAGCTCATCCCGGAGAACCGCTGTTGTGCCCCTGCTTGAGAACTACATGCAATTTTTGAGGTTATTTTTCTGGGCTGAGTAATGTTGTCGCCTCACCCTCAAGCAACGAGCACAGATCATGGTGGGCCTCATTAATGGGTACCTATTTTTCTGTTAAGACTTAATCAGTAGCATGATATTCTACCCAATTCGAAAGCAAAATATGATCACTGATCAAAATTTAGAGTTCCCAAATAAGTAAAATGTACTGGAGTAAATCATCGGGGAATTATGCCGTCATGTTAGGGCAACTGAAATGTTTCAAAATTCTTGCGTGCAAACTCATTTGCATCAATTTTCAATAGAAAACAAATCAAATTTAGGAATTCGTTGCTAAATTTTATAAATCAAAAGACGGTCACAGAATGGGGAATGGACACAAAGTTTCAACTTACTATCGAGCAGAACTTTAATGAAACTTTTTTTTCGGCTGAACCAACTTGTTTCAATTGAGCGACTAATTCGGTGCATGTTTTTAATTGAAACTTTGAAACTAAACTTAGTGTACGGTTCACTAATATCCCACCCATTCTCATCTTTCCACCCTCGTCAAATTTATTAGATTAGATTCCGCGCTTTTCAGGTTCACACTAATTTAATTTCCAAATTTTTACTCCAGCACATTCGTGTTTCATTTCTACGCGAGGCTTCAACATTGACTTAATCGCCAGAAAACCATGTGTTCGCCTGAAGTTTGGAGACTCACAATGGAATTTTCCGAGGGCGACGGTTATAAACCAAATTCTAGAACCAAACTTCGAACTCTTTTAAGAGAGAATCGGCCTCGTTTCTTCTCATCACTACTGGAAACAACTTTCGAAAAAAAAGCACGCTATATTCAATTCTACATCGTAAACATACAAAATTAGTGAACAAAATATTTGACAAATTCGGTATAAGCTTGATAGATGGTTGCCAGAAGTAAAATGGCATCTGAAGCCAGGCATAACATCATTACAAATGACCTCTTAGCCCAGATAAAACACAGTACGACTTAGCGGAGCTTCAAATTTCACTATTTTTCACAACAATGATATGCCTGCATTAACATCAACAAGCTTTCTGTACTTTTAAGATACCTGTAACGGACCAAGTTTAAGACCATTTATCCACGGGGGAAAGGACCAACACAAGAGCTGTACAGCTCATCACGGCGAACCGCTGTTGTGCCCCTGTTTAAGAACTACATGCAATTTTTGTTTAGGGGGGAGGATGTTAACTTGGTTCTAAGTGGGAATTTTCAACCAATCAGAATTGAGCTTTTCACACGCAGCGCTTAGCAAATTTAATTTATATTGAACGCTGGGTGGAGGATTTTAACTTTGTCGATCGGGGGGGGGGGGGTATTACGCTAGCAAAACTATAGACGTCGGACAAAACGCTTGCTAGGAATAAAGGGTCCTTTCTACTTTCTATCTTAGAAAGTAAATCTAAAATTCGCTGAGAAATATTTTATTAAAAAAGAAGTTAGTATGAATTTACAGCTAGTTGCCTTTTTATTTTAAGGGTGAGATTGGAGATATTTTTTAGAGATTGATTGGGGGTGGTTTGAAGAGAGTGGTGTTGGTGTTAGAAGACATATTGTTGGGAATGAATTCCCGTAGTTTTGAGCTTCTATTTATACTCAGATGGGGAAATCACGCCACTTTTCGTATCAAATGAGAAGTTACTTCTTAACTTCGTATTCTCTATTCGTACATTCGTATTTTACGAGAAGAAGGTTTCGTATGCTCGTATTTTACGAGAGGAATCGTTAATATTCGCATTGAATGAGAATAGTCGTTTCAATTCTCAATGCTTAAAACGTTATACGAATTATTCCAATAGCATTTCCCTTCCTTTTGCAAGGGAATAAAAACATATTTCTTTTGTGGTGGCGGCGGCGTCACATTTTGTGAACGCAATAAAATAATTCATGTTTCTGTTTCTATTTGAAATCAGAACATATCCATCCTCCTATTTGGAGAGGAAAAAAACTGAAACTTTCATTTTTATTACTTTCACTTGAATAGTGGGGTAATTGTTGATCGATCGAAGCTTTTTCTTTCAATCTCATAAAGTTGGTTCAATAGTTTGTTGGTATTACATGTAGCAGATGTTTTTGAACAACTGATACTTTGAGTCAGGCTTGAATGAATATAAACACATCAGTTACATTTATAAATCAAAATAGAGTTTACACAACCAAGGGATTTAACTATAAAATTAAGTACATCAAAATTATTTGTTTCTCAAAAGTTTGAAGGTTAGTTTTATTCCTTGAACATTCTTTTTTCGAAGTCTCCTGAAGTATGTGAAGTAGATGTCCATACGCGTAATAAGGGGAGGACTGGTTCATACAAAGGGGGTATTTTTTGTGTTTTTTTATTAAAGTCAAAATTGTTGAGGAAGGAAATTAATAGCTATACTACATAGCTATATAAAGCGAAAGAATAAATGTTTAAATGAAAGGACAAATTTTTTACAATTTTCCTTCCAACCGGGCTATAAGTTGGTGATTTTTTGTTTTCAAATTGTGGATTTGCTTTTTCAGCTCCCGGATTTGGTGCGTTTCATGGATATGACTGCGCTGAATTTGCTCAGTATAGTCATCTAACTGGGGGGTTTGTAATTTTGCTGTCAGATATTTTGCTGGGACATAGATTTTTTGATATTCAAGAAGGGAATTAGTTATGGAATACATTTTTTTTATAGGGTGATAGGCTTCTAATTTGAAACGATTGATTAATGGATTCAAAGCATAATTGAGATCCATATCGAAGCCGGGATTACTGTTAGAATTAATGTATCGTTCCCTTTCTAACTGAATATGTAATTTAGTGTTTAATTCAGTGGGGTGCAAGGGCTGTCGCCTAATGGTCATTGGATATTGAGAAGTTGATACCGGCGTATTTGCCGTTAGTATCTATATGGTTTTACAATCTGGGTTCGCTTTTTAATTTTGGAATTCGAGGGAACCAGGGGTACTTTGAAATCAGGGGATGAAATTTTTAGGGGTGGTGGCTTTGATGCTGTAGTTATTGGGACAGCTGAATTGGTTTGAAGTAGTGGCTCAACGAAGGATCGTGTTGAGGTTGGCTTTGCAGTGGGTGTTGTAGTAATAGAAACAGTTGGTTGTTGAGTGAGTGCTGAAATCTGCGAGTCCAGTGGATCGGTTGGTGGCAGGAGTGAGAGAAGATCCTCAAAATCTCTCAAGTCGTCATCAAGTGTTGCGTCCATAGTTGAATCAGTTGGTATATCCTAGAACAGTAGAATTTTCTTTATTAGACTGGGTTTGTTGGGTGATCCAAGTTTTGAGTTCTTCTCTCAAAACTTGTTAATTGGATGTGAGGATACATGCGATCCTGGTTTATTTTATCAATTTCCTCTAAAAGAGGGGCTTGTATTTTTTGATCACATTCTTGTTCTAATTTTTCAGTTTGCTCATCTTGAGTGAAAATTGAGGTCACTATGGAAGTGAAAAGTACATTATATGAAGCGGCAAGCAATACTTTGCCAAAGTGTAGTGAGCGGCCGGTGATTTTGTGAATATGCATAGCCTTTATTATGAATACTAGGCAATCTAGTATGAATTTCACAAATAGAAAAGAGGCGAAGACTATTCCGCATTTTTCTAAATAGTATTGTACTTTCCCGAATATACGGGTGTATTCGTTTTTCCAAAAGTTTGGAGAGATGAGATAGTCCAAATAGATTGTTTGGGAAGAGCCTAGTGGGCTGTATGAGTCCTTGAAAATAATTTTTTTAGCATTTAGAAAGGACCTGGATACTTTTTGTAGTATTCCTTTCATCTCTGAATTATCGGAAATCATATTCCAGAATTTTTGCATTTGAGCATAAGTGTATATTGAAGCGCCTTGGCTAGAGGCTAAAGAATGCTTAATCTTTTGAATTATCTCTTTTGGTTTAAAGAGATATGGTCCTGTAAACCTTGTAATTTGAGGGGTTAATTCAATCCAGGACTTATCATCATCAACATCTAGTTGAAAGAGATTTGAATGTTTGTCGGAGCAGTCTTGTAGATCTGCCGATTGAAAAGTTTGTCGCGTAATTGGATCGACAAATCGAATATTTTCCTTATACATAATGGGAATGCGATTATAGCATTCATCCATTAATTGCAAAGGTGAATAAAAATTCGGACAATGGTAGAGCCAGGCAACATTGCCATTGGTCTCTAAGAACATAGAGCGGTTTTTGGTTAGAATATAGCCAGCCAAACGTGGGCTTTCAAGTGAAAGCATTAAAGTATTTAATATTGAGCAGCGTTCTAGCTCACATTGATTTTGCAGAAGGGCTAACTCGGCCGTTCTGAGCATGTAGAAGCTATAAAAAGAATATAGTCCAATTTGGTTCCTATATGAGCTTCGTAGTCAATTTGATGACTTGAAAATTGGAGTGGCGGCGAATCATCACTTAATGTAAGAAAAGAAGAATTTGGTTGGCCGGCATTATGAATAGTTCCCGTTTCTGGGGTTGGTTTAACTTGGATTCCAGTATCCATATTGAAACCGTCAGTGTATGCAATAAAAAGTGAATCATATGAAGTTGGATACACTATTCTGGGATGACCACAAAGAGATTGCGGTTTATTAATCACCTGTAGCATAAATTTTTGAGAATCCCTTGTATGGGTAGAACGAATAGACGGGCTAGAATCGCCTTTAATTATATAGTATGATTCTTCGTTTTGAATCATTTTAGCCGGAAATCTGTTTAAAACAGTGAAAATGCAATTGTTGGGTTCTTCCCAAGTATAAGCAAAAGCGTCTAAGGATGTTGTTTC